ATTTGAACAGCCTGACGAGTTTATAAATAATTTCGAGGTCGACTTGAGTAGCACGACAAGTTTAGAGACAATTTAGAGGTCGATTTGAGTAGCTCGACAAGTTTTGAGATAATTTCGAATTTGAGTAGTGATTTCGGGTAACGCGATGAATTCCTGAGAAATGTCATTACTAATTGCCAAGATACTTTTCCTACGAGATCTACAACTCAGCGAGTTGTCCGGATATCCCGAAGAGAGGCTCCTGGTACATTCTCCTCCCGGTCGCTGTCGCTCTCGAAGAGGGGCGTTCCCCGATAATCGGCGACCCCTGGCTTCCGGGACTGGTCCCTTAAACCGAAAAGCCCACGGGGACGATTTCCCTCTCCGTTTCTTCGCGAAAGGTCGAGCCGATCGGGAGGGCATCGACATTGCCGACCAGCGACGACCGCGACGCGTCGTTCTGACGATTAACCACGATAATGGACGTCGAATCTATGCTAAATAGGGCCCATTATCAACACGACATCCTGCATCCGCGATCCCGACATCGTGCGAATCCCGTCGATCGCTCGAAGCTCGATAAAGCCCGATACGCGCAGAAAATAAATTCACGCTCTTAATAGCCAATTAAATTCGCAATGGCAAATGGAAACGCTTGAAAATGGGCCAGTGAATTTTTTACAAATTTTCCTCACGTATTTATAGGAATAAAAAAAAGGCGCTTAGAATTTTATTTACTAATGCAATATTTTTTTCGGCTATTTCCTAACTTGGAGGACATTTTCTTTTTACATTCGGCTCGATCGCAACGAATTCTGCGATTAGCGAAATTATTACCGCAATAAGAGCAGAACCTCCCCGACGGGAGCGTCCTTAGGTAAAAGTGCAATCGACTCGTTATGTCCGCGCAATTTCCCTATAATTTCTTCGAAACAAATCGAAATATACGGCGTGAAATTATCAAATCTTCCCTCCTTACATATTTCTACTTTCGGCGGCCACCCGAAATGAGCTAACAAGGATCTATCTTCCATTTCTCACAATTATTCTCTCCCGCGCACCTGCCCAAACCTTTCCGCTGTAACACCTACACCCGCGGATCATTAAGCCGTATTATACGGAAGAAACAAGGTCCCCACCTCCCGTGCACCGCTTTGTATCCATAAAAACTACCGGTGTGTTTCCTGGGCTCGTTAATCTTCGTTAGAAAGCGCGGCCCGGCCGAAGAACGACGCCGCGACTTCCACTCCGGCCGCCATCTTGTAGTCCCGCGCATCTCCTGATAAATTCGGGCATCTTCTCGATTATCCGAAATCGACGAGTGGAAATGATCGATGTACCGTTAATTCCCTGGCTCTTCGTAGACGGTAGACATCGATACGGCCGTTATTTCGAGGGCACAATCAAGATCCCACGAAAAAGGTTCCGCGACTTTCATCCAGCCGCCATCTTGGTATCCCGCGCGTCTTCTGATAAATCGGGCATCTTCTCGATTATCCGAAACCGACTAGTGGAAACGATCGATGCATCGTTAATTCTCCAGCTATTCGTCAACGGTGCACTCCGACATTACTATTATTTCGAGGGCATAATCGAGATTCCATGGAAAAGGTTCCGCGACTTTCATCCAGCCGCCATCTTGGTATCCTGCGCGTCTTCTGATAAATCGGGCATCTTCTCGATTATCCGAAACCGACGAGTGGAAATGATCGATGCATCGTTAATTCTCCAGCTATTCGTCAACGGTGCACTCCGACATAGCTATTATTTCGAGGGCATAATCGAGATTCGATGGAAAAGGTTCCGCGACTTTCATCCAGCCGCCATCTTGGTATCCCGCGCGTCTTCTGACAAATCGGGCCTCCTCCGGTTATCGAATATCGACGACTGGAAACGATCAATGTAGGATTCATTTTCCAGCACCTCGTCAATGGTAGACCTTGATGCGACCGTTATTTCGAGGGCGTAATCGAGATGCGGCGTTAAAGTCGACCCTCGCTATCGGAGGAAGAGAGCGAGCCGCATCTCTAGAGGCCGTTGCACTCCGCGGGGACTTCTGGTCCTGCCTAGCGGTACTTCCTCCGCTTCCACCTTGTCATCCTGGTACTTTTACTTCTTCTACGGTTCCCTCCACGTCCCCGGATGTCCCCGGGCGGAGGAAAAAGAAGTCAGCGCCGCTTTTCAAGGCCTGTCCCCTTGTTAACCTAATTTTCCTTTTTCCCGCGGCGCATCGGCCAAGCGGAGTGCCGTTAAGACGCCGTCGGTGAAAACGCGAGAAAGTACGCTCTCAAACGGGCGAGGGCATTTGAATTCGGGACGGTCGAATTCACCGAGTCGAAACGACTCGGTGGAATCGTTTGAGGTTATGTCCCGTTACGCGGGAGCGTAACAGTACCGCGATGGCACCTGAGGAGAACGGAAGGTCGACTTCTTACCGACATAGAGAGGGCATTCCGTGAGCATCGAGGATGGCCAGGGCGAAGCATATGGCGTGAGTCAGCTGCTGCTCGCTCGTTATCGAGATACGCGACACGTGCGCCGGCGTACGAACGCGTACGCAAGAGGTAGCGCGAGAAATGCGAGAGTAATGCTCGAGTAATAGAGTAATAATGGAGTAATGCTTGAGTAACGTTTCGTACGACTCGAGAAATCGAGTGATACTCGAGTAACGCTTCGTACGACTCGAGAAATCGAGTAATGGAGTAATAATCGAGTAATGATAATCGAGTAATGCTTGGGTAATAGAGTAATAATAGAATAATGCTCGAGTAACGTTTCGTACGACTCGAGAAATCGAGTGATACTCAAGTGACGCTTGAGAAATCGAGTAATACTAGAGTAATAGAGTAATAGAGTAATAGAGTAATAGAGTAATAATCGAGTAATGTTTGGGTAACTGATTAATAGTCGAGTAATGCTCGAGTAACGCTTCGTACGACTCGAGAAATCGCGAGTAATGGAGTAATAATCGAGTAATGGAGTAATAATCGAGTAATGGAGTAATAATCGAGTAATGCAGTAATAATCGAGTAATGCTTGGGTAATAGAGTAATAATAGAGTAATAGAGTAATAATAGAATAATGCTCGAGTAACGTTTCGTACGACTCGAGAAATCGAGTGATACTCGAGTAACGCGAGTAATACTTGAGTAATCGGGTAATACTCAAGTAATACTCAAGTAAAACTCTGGTAATACCGAATTCTTGCGGAAAATCCCATAAAATAGTATGTACCTCGGGGTCGATGTCCAATTAATTCAGCGTTCCGCTCACGGACGAGCGGGCGAGTGATACTCAAGTAATACTCGAATAGTATCGAAACTCGAATAGTATAGTAGTAGCGATCGAGTTTTACTCGAGTGATCCGAAATTCTCGGAGGAAATTCCGTAAAGTTCTATCGAGCCTCCCCACTGTCGCCGCCCAATAAATCAAGACGCGTTCCGCTGATGGATAAGCCCTCGCTCGGAGGGCGACGTTTCCAAATTACAGTCATCTCCTTCCGCGGATATCGGCACTCTTGCCGCGGCCCTGGGAAATGGCAGTCCTCGAGGTGCGATTACGAAGACACGAGGCGAGACGAGACGAGACGAGTGCCAGAGGGAGAGATTTATCGTAACACTCGCGGTCCATTTCGAGGGAACAAACGCGGCGTTGTCAAAGAGAAGCGAGCCGGAATTACCCCCACGAGAGTCCTGCCCAAAAAATTCTGGCTACTCGAAATCCATACATTACATAACCTGCATTTAAGCTCTTACGAAAGTGGCCTATAAGAGGTCAATCGTCCGTGAAACTTTTTTTCCGAGCTGTTCGTACCGAATCGTATCAACCTATACAATGTGAATATGGAAGCTATAAGGAAGGTCTCGATTCTCATGAGATTTAAATTATAAAAAAATGTGAGTACGTATATATATATTTGTTTAATCTCGTGACCAAATGTGCAGTTCCATGAGTTTCAGGACCTTCCTTATAGCCCCCATGTTCACGTCGTGAGGTTTAAAGCAATTCGGTACACCCAGTTTGGGGAAAAATTTCATAAAAGAGATCCCTTTGACCCGACTTCCACGTCGCCTTAAATTTCCCGGAAGAATGTGCACGCTGCATCGGAGCTGACCTTCCGGGGGTGCCTTTGAAGTCGCGGCGTTTTCCGGGCGATACAATTAAGGGGGTCTTCGCTTGCGAGGCCAATCGGAGCGAAATCCCAGCCTGGAACGAAGGTCTCCCTTGCCACGGCGAATTAAACCTCATCGGGCGACTCCGTTGTGGCAGACGCGAACGGGCTGGACGGGGGGGCGGGAGATGCGTTTCCTGCATTTCACGGTAGAGCGAGAACGCGGAACAGAGGAACGACGGGAACGGAACGCAGGGTACGGCCACGGTGGAATTAATTAGACGGCTACGCACACGCAGGAAATCGCCCCCGCGAATTGGGTCAGAAACGAGGGCCGAATCGAAGGTTGCGAGTCGATCGAGATAGCTTGGCCCTATCCCCAAACTCGTATTGAAAAGAAAATCCCGAAACATCGAGCCTAAAAAAGGAAATTTCCGTTCCATGTAACATAACACCCCATGATCATGACCCTTACCGGCAGGAATGTGATAGTCTAAACGTTGCCCCCTCCCAAGTCTATGCGGTGATAAGGGAAACCCGAAATTCTCAAATTTCAAAGGAAATCCCGTGACCATGAAGCCACCGTCGGGACAAAATTCTGAGACCCTCAGACGTAAGAAATAATTCCGTGATCACGAAGTCAACATTCCGGCCACGAAGACCTAACTCTCCCTCCGAAACTCAAGGCGACGTGAAAGTGTTGTTTTAAAAATGAAATCTCACGAGTCTCGGGAAGTTCCTTAGGGCCTCCATAATCACGTGTCGAAGTGTCGAATAATTCGGCGCACCCAGTTTTGAGAAGTGTTACATTTCGACGATCTGCCATGTACAGACTGGCCCTTTAGTCCCACCTTAAAAAGTAGTTCCTTCCCCGGAATAGAAAATAAAATTCAGTACTCTCAAACTCACCGTCAGGATTGCGATAGTACCCCCAGGATGGGGTGGCAGTAGCAGCAGCCTGGAGGACGAGAGCGACGACGCCGAGGGCGAGGGCCCCAGCGGCTCCACGCGCTGCAAGGGCGCGCCTCTCGGACCTCCGAGCGTCGGCGGGCGTCTCGACGACGGCGCGCACACCTTGACGAGAGCTCGAATCGGCCATTCTTCATGCCGTGGCACGGCAAGTCGTCACTCGCTAGCCGAGGCAGCGTAGAGGCCCCAGGGAGGGCCCTCCTGCCTGGTATCCAGGACAATTCCAGGACCTCACCCGGGGCGCCTCATGACTCTTCCTGCCAGTCCCCGGTACCCTCTGCAGGTGCATCGGGGGCACCTGAGCCTGCAGGTACTCGTGGTCGCAGGTATCAAGTCGCTCGCCAGCAATGGGCCTCTACGTCGAGGTCTCGACACATGCCAGCGAGTACTCGACACCCGAGGATATCGATCGTCTATCCGACTTTCCCTCGTTATCGTGGAAAGCGAGTCGACCTTGACGAATCGATCGCTTTCCTCGAGTCGCTTATCCTAGTTGCTCTTATCCAGTCGAGATTCCCCGCGTCGATTTTTAAGTCGATCGGGTAACCTCCGCCAGGTCAAGATTACTTCTAATAGATGTGGCGTTGGAGGACATCCCTCGTTGGGTGTGTGCAGAAATTTCCTTCCTGGGTGTATCCAGAAATTCCCTCGCTGGATGTATCCAGAAATTCCCTCGCTGGATGTATCCAGAAATTCCCTCGTAGTTTACACCGCAGCGATGCTTACCGGTGTCGCTCCAACATTCCGGAAAGATCCCTCGCCGACTTCACCAGGAACCTGCGCTCCCTCTAGGCTGGGCTCACTCGCGCACTGCGCCGACGTCTTCGACGAGACCGGCGACCCTGGTGTACTTTTCCTCCCAGCGCATCGCCGTCCGCGTCATGGGTGTTTACGACATCGAGAAAGTCAATGCCGCGTCGACACCCGGGCATCGGCAGGGTCCTTTTCAGTCAGCATTCCTCTTGTTACCGTCCATTCCTCCGGAGCTTCCTCTCCACCCGAACGAAGAAAATCGGCGCGTAGAGGTTAGGTCGGTCCCCTTGTTCGTCGGAAGGCACGGTCATGGGGATTTGCGTCACGCGGACTCATCGGTGTCGCAAATCACCCAAGACTTACCATGGAGTTCCCTCGTTGAGCGTCCTTCGAGGACGTCGGCTTGGCATTCCGGACGCGCCGGTAGTCGTCGAAAAATCGTATTCGGCACCGTCGAAAAGACGAACCCGGCGAGCATAGGCGGCGGTTCCGTACAGAGAGGCCGGTAGTAAATTCCAAGCGTCGCGACGGTGGTCCCACGCGGTCCGGCCTCCCCCTACGTCCGCGGCCGACTTCGCGTTCCTCGTCCTTTCACCTCCGCTCCCCGCCCTCGTATTCCAGCCCGAGTTCGTGCGCCTCCCCGCGGAGGACTCGGAACCGGTTCTCGCGACGCGATTTCACGCCGAGCCACCGCTAAAAATAAACGCGCGGCTCCTCTTCCCCGAGGTTTTCGGCGCGCGTTTTCGCGACAACGGTTTCCGGGAGCGGCGGCCGGCGTCGCGGTCGAGAAGAATCTCGAAAATCCGCGAGTTTTTGTATTTCGTCTAAACACTCAATGAGTGGGGTTTGTAGGTTAAGATTATTCTGGTATGTGCAGCGGAGTGGGGGCCTTGCGGCGGCACGCGGTCGAGAAGGATCTCGAAAATCCGCGAGTTTTTGTATTTCGTCTAAACACTCAGTGAGTGGGGTTTGTAGGTTAAGATTCTTCTGGTATGTGCAGCGGTGCGGGGGCTTCCTTGCGGCGGCACGCGGTCAGGCGACGCAGGTTAGGTTGCCGGGTCGATAAGCCAGGGGGATCCAATCGAAGCGCTTGTAGGTTAGGTTCGCCGCGGCGGCCGCTACTAGGCGACCGCCTCGCTATCGATCGGCACTCCTCGCGGCGCACGGTCGCCAGTCTCTCTCTCTCGGTCCGCTTCCTCGTTCCTCGATCTCGGGTTTCGCGCTCCTCCGCGTTCCTCGGCTCCCTCCGGTTCTCCTTCTTCGTCCGCTCTTCGCCGCCGGCTGCCTCCTTTCTCTTTTCACCGCGGGACTCCCGCGCCTCCCCTCCCGCGCTTCCGCCCTTGGCCGGCCAATCAGCGCGGCGCTCGCGCGCCGACCGGCCGCGCCATTGGCCGAGGGTCGCCCGCACTTTTCCAACGACCTTGGCGAGTCGCTTGCGGAACTCCGACCGGACGGCTTCGCGATTTTCGACTCTGACCGACCGACGTACGTCGCGATACGCGGCTCCGTGTTTGTACCTGCGTACTGGGACTCGCGAGCGAAGACGCGCAGCGCGGCGCGAGCATGCGCACTCCCCGGCACTGCGGGACCGACTGAGCGCCGCAAACGCGCCGAGCCGAGCCCGAGCCGGGGCCATCCGAGTCTACCCGAACGCGGCCCGAACCGAACGCCGCGCTCGGCGCTCGATTTACCTCGCGAACCTCCCGCCGCTTACTGAATTAACGCCGACGAAGCCGGGAATATTTTGCCCAACCGAGAATCCTACGCCTTTACCGAGACGGGGAAAATCTACTTGTCCAGAGTCTGGTCGTTGCCCTTTCCGCAGCGAATTCGAGGCTCTGACTCGCGGGACGGCGCGACAAAAGGTTTAAGGCGATATGAAAGGGTCATCCTATACATATCGAAATGTACAAAATATATATACATTTTTTCTAGACTAGGTGCCCCCAATCATTTTAAACTTTATCGCGAGATTATGAAGGTCCTCATCAAGATCTTGAGAGAAATTCATTTAACCAAAGAAATATTTAATTGAATAGTACCAAAAAAAAAATACTTTGTTAATTCAAAGAATAATTATTTGACTCAAATAAATTGGCGTAATTCCACATAAATGTTGCATCCAATTTATTCGAGTTTATTTGAGCCAAGTAATTTATTCATCTAATTGATAAAATATTTCTTTTGTTCAATGGTATTTCTTTTCTCTGTGTATCCGAACAAGGTAAGGAGTTAATTGTTTCATTCTTCGTTTTCGTTGGGATTTTCCTCGTCATAGTCGTTCCATTAATTATCTAATTCTGCGAGCTAAAACATGAGGCAAACGTTCGTCGTGGAAAACTCGCGGCGGCCATGACGCTGACGTCACGCGCATAAAAGCGCGATTTCAAGGTTAGGTTTCCCGTCGTAAGTCGACTTACGTAACTTATCGCGAAGATCTTGCGCCGAGGAGACAAGCTGCACTTTATTTTCTTTTCTCTCAGATCGGCCATTAATCGATTGACGTGCATTCAACGGCCTCGAAAATTCAAAGAACATTCGTCACCATGTTTATTTGGAACCTCCAAAATGGCGGCGGAGGGACGAGGACTGTTGCCCGAAGCTGTTTCCCTTATGCTAGTTATATTTCCCGACTGGGAGCGAAATTTGCATTTATTCGGAGAAATAGGAAACACAATTACAAACTCGAACGGCTCGAGGGGTGTCGGCCATACTTCAGGCCGTAAAAGTGACGCTCGTGTCTAGGTTCACGTCGTTCTGACTTATTCCCGGGGAAATAACGCGCTTGGCATTTCTCACGCCTCGAAACCCAGGAGGGAAATTAGTAGTGAAATTCGCCCGCTTATATGCAAATACCCTAGCGGCGCAGAACGATTTATAAATACTTTTCTTCCAATCTTTGCTAATTACCTCAAGCCCATTACACGACTATTACACGACAGACCTATTAACACGTAGATTTGATTTAAAGTTATACAATATATTTGTGGAAAATCTCAATGACATATTTAGTTCTAATCATCTAGAAACGTATACCAAAATTATACATTTTAATTTAGCAAAGATATAATGAAGATACATGTGTTGCTTTACGGTTATTATCGAACAATTCGTTTGGTAAAATGTAGGATACATGTTAAATATATATGGAAAATATAATAGAAATATTTTGCACTACTAGTGTTCAATGAATTTTTTTTTGCAGTGCACTTCTTGAAGAAGGATGATCGCAATCGACCTTGTCTTGGAAAAATGGCAAGACAGGTTGCAACTGTCACAGTTACTTCATAGATGATGAAAAGAATATATAAAAAAATATCCGTGACCGCATTACAAAATGGCCGCCATCCTCTCTGCGGTCGGAAGCACTCGATTGTCGATAGTCGCGATGCTTTTACCGTTAAACTGGACAGAAAATCTGAACTGTCGGCTCTGACACCTGCAACTGATATCCTAGATGCAAGTGGCAACGAAAATAGTACATTCCCGATGCAACGGGAACCAGAAACCAAAAAGGTACGAGGATTTTGGCAGCGTAACAGTCTAGACGCGTCCCGCCGCCATTTTGTGATTTTCTGAGTCTGCGAAATATAGAACCGACAAGTAGTACTCCATAAGGAATCACTTAACGTTTTGTTAATAAATACGTCATACTTACATGGAAAGGAGCAGTAGTGACGTAAAAAGATGCTAGCGAGGGTGTCAAAATTTGTAAATAAAAAAATTCAAGCCAAACCGTGCGAGTGACTTATGTACTTGGCTTTGTATTAATGATACATTAATATGATTTCGACGCTTTTGATTATCGGAAAACCTCACCGATCATTTCTTTCGCAGGTTTTAGTGAATAGCGAGACCTTTCTCGGCAATTTGTCGCACCTGAAAATGTAGTTCGAGAAGTTAGACGGGAAGTTCCGGTTTGCAGGACTGCAACAATGGCGGGGACGCTTTGACACGGTCACGTAACATTTGTTGTTTGACTCGATAAGCCTCGAGCCGCGGGAAACGAGTTAGCTGCCTTGTTACAGGTTTACCATTATCGACTATCGAACGTTGACCCGAGATAAAGCACTGTACCGATTTCGCCCGATTACGGGACGCGTGGGTGCAGCATTGTTCTGCACTTTATAGCGGCATTTTCTTACAAGTGAACCTTATTCGCCCCATTGTTGTCACCGAGACTTGGCACTGATTTATAAAGGCATACAGAAGCCTTCGATCAGCAGCAAACAAGTGCCGGGTTTAACTTAAGTACTAACTGAAATGGATCTAAAAACAAATATGACGCTTTGCCAAATCACATGTGTCCGTAAATTCAAATTTCGCGCCTCTTCTCAAGAGGCTGAGGACCACTCCCGCTTAACCACCTTAATTTCTCGTTACGGTAGACATTCATTAGTTCGGTAATTGAGAAGTACTTATACAGGGTAATAACTCCTATTAAGGATGTAAAAGGCACTAGAAAATTCGCCAAAAGTGGAGGAAACAAAAAGACTGGAGTAATAATCGATTAGACGCCACGGTAGCGTCCCAGGAAAAATAGTAAAATTACGTCGGAACGAGACTAATTATCTAAAGTATCCGTCCTGTTACAATGTCAAATAGAAATTGGAGAACGCGGGAGTCCATCGATCCCGAAGCGACAATTAACAGAGGAAATTCGACGACACTCGTCGACCTCGACGCCTGTGTAAACGGTTAACACGCGATTAAGCAACGGCCTTAACGACTCGGCAAACGATACGACGTTGCATCACGTATCACTCCTTTCTTTTCCGCATTGAACGATGATCTCTTCTGTGAAAACCGCCTGAGAAAATAACAAGGCCTCCATCCTGTTAACAAACGAGACCCCCTTTACTCCTCTACTCCGTGACATCACCTTTAATCCCCTTTCGCCGGAATAACGAAGCACGATACCTCGCTTACCGTCATTACTCAGCCGCGATTTTTCCTCATTTCCTCGACGAAAAAAAATCAAAGTAACGCAACGAAGAGTTCGCAGCGACCCCTTCTCCTGTTTAAAAAAAGGAAGAGTTAGTAAAGCACAAAAGACGGGGAAAAAAAATTAACATAACCTCGTTTTTCTGCCGAAGAACTGCAGCGCTAGCCTCACGGCGTTGCCCAATAAACCTGATTTGCACATCCGGACGCCATTCGATTTCCTGTCCGCGATACCGAGAAACATGGCGCGCATACCCATCGCGTTATTCATCGCCCCTCTTCGGTCTTCGCTTCAACGGTTGCATTTAAAATCATCCCGAATTCGCGAGCCATGCGATTCTTTTCCCCGACATCCACCTCGGGCGAGAGAATTCGACGGTAGCGCCACGGCGGTCGTCGCAAACATTTGCCGAGCAAACGAAGGATTGCGCAACCATGCACGGGAGTGTCGGCACCCGTGTGAACACGTGTACATTTACGCGCACGCGTAAATGCACACACGCCCATGTGTACATACATTTACGCAGATGCTACTGGCTACGGAGCCTCGATGGTTTATGCCGCGTCGCAAATCTTCCTTCCTCGGCCGACGTAACTCAAGTCGTAACCTAACCTAGAAAAAGTTTTTTACTCATTTTATGGCGCCGTTAAAAAACCGCCGCAGGAAAACTGCCCAGAATACCTTATAAGTATTCTTTTCCAACTTAATCGTTACTACCAAGGGTAAATCCTTTTCGGGTTTGATGATTTTTATTCTCGGTTTTTCACCTTCTTTTTTACAAATAGTTCGAGGAAGTTGCGGGTGGTTTACCCCACGTCCTTAAATTTGGAGTTACGCCGACTTGCGTTGCAGGTGCACCAGCGATGCAATCGCATGCATTACCGTAACGCCCCCTTTACGTGCACGCGTCGCAACTCGAGCTGTCGCTGCTTTCTATTCCTCCAAGTCTTGCGTCTCTTTTTTTTTCTTCCAGAAGGAACGTACACTGTTAAAAAAAATATTACAAATTTATAACATATTTTCAAAGAAATTGTATAACATAGAATATAAATTTAGTACATATGTGTAATAAATTCATAATATATGTTATAAATTTCTGTTGATCGGTACTTGATATTAAACGTTTTTTTTGGAAACAAATAAATGTCCATGATGCTGCCGGAGTTTTCTATTGATCGTAAGAATTTTTCTTAAATATCATTTAAATATTTTTCGGACTCAAGAATGTCGCTACAATGCTTTTCAGAAACTCATCTAAAAAAATTTGCAAACCATGCGTACCAAATGACTTTCGAATATCGAATCTATAATTTTTCTCGAGGTGTTATAAAATTGTCAATTTACTTAGAATTTTATAATAAATGTATACTGATTAGATATTAAGACGTCAAATTTATAATTTTACTGCAACCTCATGTACTAAAAGTGTATGAATTTTATGAATTGTTTTAACAGTGTATTTTCTAGAAACCAGTGCGACGAAAATCCTCCGAAAAATTTGGTGGCGATTTCCTCAAGCGGGAAGTCTTCGATTCGGTCCGTTCGGCGGGCGTTGAAGTCTCCATTAAGCGACGCCAGCGCCCTCGCGCGAGGTCGCGAACGACGCGTCGGGGCGTCGCCATTAACAGAGAATGTTAATGGGGTTTGAAAAATAGACCGAGGTTGAGTCACGTCGCCGTACGCTGCGTTAGGTGTAGTTAACCCAGGCCTTGGTGGACTTTCAGCGAATCAAAATAATTGATTCAACGAATCGCGGCTTTAATGGCGGCCTTAATTTTTCCTGGGTCACGTGACGAGCCGTTACGGCTCGCGGGTCTCCAGGAATCCCAGAAAGGAGCGCGTTTCGTTTAAACGGCCAAGTATTACAAACTCCCAGTTATTCCCGAATTGAAAATGAACATTCATTTCCAAATTTAATCCAAATAAAGATTTCATATCGACTTTATGTCGCAATTTTACGCCTTGCTCATAATAATGCACAGTAACGCTTAATTTTTAATAAGCCCATTAAATAAATTAAATGACAATATGAGTTTAATGTACTATTTATACAATTATACCCACATAATCGGAGTATTGAATATAATAATGGATAAAGCGAATTATTCGCTGAGTGAAAACTCGAAAGTCGATCGTCTTGGCCCGAACGAGATCGCGAACCGGTCGCGGACTCTCTCTCTGCGCGTCTTCTCTTTGTCGGATATCTCGAGAAGGTCGCCGAGGTCGTGGTCGGGCCAAGAGAAGGTGAACCCTACCCGACTCGGGTGTTGCACAACGTTGCCTACAACTCGTGGTCCCCGTGCCCTTCCCCGGAGTCATCGAACTCCTTGGCCGAGTACCGTTCCGCCGCCATCTTTGATCTGCACCGAATCGAACGATCGCGCTTAATATTATTAACGACGTTTACTCCTGATTTTCAGATAGGATGTTCCACCTTGAGAAGATTAAGAAAAAAATAACAGAGAAAAGGAAGACAAGAAGAGAGAATGGAAATTCACTGTGCTGTCGAAAACAAATGAAATTCAAGAAATTCCGCCGCCATCTTTGATCTGCACCGAATCGAGCGATCGCGCTTAATATTATTAACGACGTTTACTCCTGATTTTCAGATAGGATGTTCCACCTTGAGAAGATTAAGAGAGAAAAGGAAGACAAGAAGAGAGAATGGAAATTCACTGTACCGTCGAAAAGAAATAAAATTCAAAAAACATGGGAGAAGTTTCAGCTACCCTAAATTTATATATTGTATTCTCTCAATTGTAAAAATAAGCTAGTTTAAACCATTTCTAATAAGATGTAAGGACCCGTCACCTGTGTATATACATATTTATAAACGTAACAATTTTTAACGCCGCTCTGTAAATTCGAATTGTACGAGGTAAACAAACACTTTGAACAGGGTGTTCACGTAGAAAAGCGTGTCACGTTTATCTGCAGTCTTTCGTAGCCATTAGAATTCGTAGAAGAGCCGGTTTTTCTGGTCTTAGAACCTCAAAACCCTCGTAGGTCGGACCTTCAAGAGCCTCGACCTAAACTCTTCGGGGTGAACGTCCTGGAATTCAGTTCCGCGATCGTGTGAAATGCATGGAAATGCTAATAATGCTTAACCGATGACCGACTCGGATAATGAACTTGGCTCGATTTAGCGATCGCGTGTCCGAGACGGGATGCAGATTACAGTGCTATCAGTCGTAACAAGTTCGAAGCATGCGGACAAAGGAGGGAAGAAGGAAGGAAGAAAAGGACAAAGGAGCCGCTTTATTGGCACAGTCGCGTTTACATATTTCCTTCCATTAATCGCCTACTAACTCGCGGGCCGATCTCTAAAAGTTCTTATCAGAGGGAGAGATAGAAATGTCCACGTCTTGAAGTGTGCTCCGCGTTCGTCAACCGAGAACACGAGGTTGCCCGTCGTAACGTTATTTACGACAGACTCGATTAGGATTGGACGTGGTCGTAGGTCGACGTCACGAGGTTAACTCCTTTAACCTTCTGACTTGACATCGCCCTAATACACGTTCCAATTGCGACACCCATAAAGAACAGAGACTAAGAGGACGAACTGCATAGGGTCCTTATGGGAGCTCGTGTCCGTGAAAAAGGATACCGAATTGTTTAAAATTTTCTCTGTAGGTGGCAATGCTATCGCTAAGAGGCTAACATAAGGTTTGCTCGTGTTGTCTTATCGTGAACGGACGCTTTTTTATTTCTCATAACCGGTGGGAAAGGGCGACGTCGTGGAAGCGTGCATTTTTCTTTTCAGTCTTCGTCGGCGTTAATGCACCATGTCATCGGAAATGTCGACTGTTAAGAAACGCACGTCTGTCCCAGAAACTTCGTTTCCTCGGAGGGGAAAATCTGTCGGAGGGGAGGAGAGAAACTTCGTTTAAAATTCACAACTCGCAAAGACTCTCCAGTACCAAACACGGTTTATTGAACATAACATTAGCAACAATGTGTATTCCAACCGCCGCAAATCAAGGTGTCCTCGACTTTTCCCGGCACAATCACTGGCCCTCTTAACTAATTAATTAATTAGGAAACATGCTCGTACAACATTTAGTGCTAAGACAAGAGTAGGGCTAGGGACAACTAAAACAATTAAAGCAGTACTATCTTAAGTTGACGTTATCTACTGTCTACAGAGACGACTTTCCACTTTCTCTCGAGTTCAAAAATATCGGAGCGATGTTTCATTTGTTTAATATTATTTATATATATTTATTTATGTATATATATATCGCACCCACTTTCAACCAAACATTCTCGTTCGAGAAAAGTCTCCGTGCCGACAAGAGGGAGACGGGAAAGTGGGAGACTCTTTTTCTTTTCTTCATCGTATATTCCACAGATTCCATATATTTTCAAGTTACATTGTTAAGGACAAATTCACCATCGCATAACGTAGTAGATAAGATAATGCGCTCAACACCCAGGCGTGATATACATGAAGGAAAATGGCACGATACTCGAAACACACAACAATATCGCAATATATCGGAGCACCTTCGAAGTCATTGTCGCCATTGCCAGTTGTAATGCAAATTAAATGTTAAGAAACGCATTTTGTAACGGAGCGACTGATCTAGACTGTCGCGTTAATTGTTTTAAAAATACCTTGCAAAATTTCCTATACAGAGGATATTTTATTTCTGTATCGATACACTGTCTTCCCCATGTCCGTTCAACATCGACTTCCATTCCTTGGTTAATAATCATTTAATGTTAAACGCCTTTCCAATGGAGCGACTGATCTGAACTTTCACGTTAATTGTTTTAAAAATACCTTGGATAATTTCCTGTATCGAGAATATTTCATTTCAATATCGATAATCTGTCTTCCCCATGTCCGTTTAACATCGACTTCTATACCTGGGACAATTATAACTCAATGTCAACAAACGCATTTCTCCCTTCGCATTAATTATTTAAAACAATGCCTTGTAAAATTCCTAATATTCCGCCGATTATAATTTAATTCCAAGAGATATGCAACTCTGCCGGATATTTTTTTTCCAATTATTTTCGAGAATATCCTGCAATATTTCCAATATCGAGGTCATTTCATTTCAGCATTGACAACCTGCCATTTTCGTAACTCTTCGGCATCGAATTCTACCTCGAACCAAACACGTGACATTAATTAAAAATTAAAAATTGAAAATTGCAAATGTTTAATTCGGAGTGAATGGTCCATCTTCCCGGGAGTAATCCAGGATTTTCGACAGGACCTAAGTTAATTCTATTAAAACTAGATTTCACAGGAACTTAGCACCGCATTATCAAGACGTACTCTTCAGGAAGGAGCGGAACACGAGGGAAGGTTAAGGTCAAGGTTTAGCCCCTTTACATATTTCATCTTGCGTTTCCGCTGTTTCATTATACCGGGTAAATTTCGGAGCCCGGGGAAGACGAGAGCGAGTTCCGGGAATTCCTCGGGGAAATTGAACTTTCGAAGGGAAGCACTTTCCCTTCCTCGAGGAGAGTGCGTTAATCAAGATGGCCGCCATAAAGGAACTTAATCGGACTCTGACGACCTCAATTCAAAGCCGCCTTAAAAACGTCGGATTTAATTCCCAGTGTCACAAAATTTCCCCTAAAAAACATGAAATAACCAGGAAGATAAAGAAACATCGAGCTGCGTCGACAACCACTTCAATTTCTCAAATTTCCTCTTCGCGGAATTTCATCATCGGGGGAAAGGAAGAATTCCGATGGCTAGTTGAAAACGGGATCCTTTCTTCTAAATGGAAAAGCAGAATGAAATTCCGAGCACATCGGGGACCGCTCGAATGTGGAAAATGGAGTGCATTATTCTAGAAGAGAATTAATAATAAAGATAAATTCCGAACCCAACGATCGAAGTCGAAAAGATCTGAGCAGACCCAGAAATCAGGTCGAAAGAGGGAAGCCGTGGTGTGAACGAAGTAGAGAGCAAAAAAGTGAGGTTAGGAGGTCTCTCGGCGTCGATTAATTCAGGTGCAATTGAGTTCACTTTCGGAGATGAGAAATGAATTCTGGACACTGTTCCTAAAATCAGGGCGAAGGGGGGAAGCGGGGGTGTAAACGAGAGGGTAACCGAGAAAGAACGAGGTTAGCGAGGTTAGGAAGTCTCTCCCGTGTCGGCGCTCGGTCGGGGGTCCCCTTAACCCCACTTTTGAAAGAGGCCCATCCGCTGGCAGCGGCAGTTGGATCCCCAGAGGTTGCACCGGCAGCTGGAGCTGTAACAGCAGTCGTTCGGCCGGTGGTCGCAATTTCCTCCTCGTCGGATGCAGGCTCGCCTAAACAGATATATCAACGAGGAACGTCTACTCGAGATTAGGGAAATCGATAGAGTACTTTTCGCCGACATAGAGACACCGAGGACCTGTCGCTGGGGTTCTTTACACATGCTGCTAATACGTTTGCACACGGACACGGTGATCCATTTAGAAGCTTTCAAACGTTTTGGTGGGGTGCATCCATTTACAAGCTTTCCACGGGAATCTTTTCCCTCTATTAAGGTGATACCAAAGGATCGTTATAAATATATCAAAACGTGAAAACATTTATAAAACTTTTCTCTTTGTGTCCACCGAATTATTTGAAACTCTGACACGTGGTGATGAGGCTCTAAGGAAGAAGGCGATTTTTGTGAAATATCATTTTTCGAAGGAAAAAAAAAATGTCTTTCTTTGGTTCGTGTCTGAAATAAATAGAATTTTTTTTTTCGAGAAATGAAATTTCAGGGGTATCCAGTTTCAGTGAGGTATATAGACTTCGTTAATCACTAACTGTCCCACCGGTCGGTCAAATGATCGTTTTTAAATGGTACTGGTAATGGGGTTATAAACTGTCGGCACGTTTAGTGTTAATTACTCCATCTCGTACATCCCAAAAGCACTGCCTGAAAATATGTAAGTTACTAGGTGGCGTTCGCGTATAGACATCGCGTCGCATGCGGCCGTGTATTTGGCGCGGAACTCAGTCGAGTTTCCTGAGGTACTGTACGCGAGAACGTCTTTTTCAGGGGTGAAGACAAAAGCTGCATCGCTATTAGTAAGAACAGAATAGGAGAGAAGGTGAAAAGGTGAAAAGGGGAGAAAAAATTAATCGGACGACTACTCACTTTTCCTGCGCCGCGCGCATCAGGTTCTCCAGGGCATTGTCCGAATAATCCGAGTCCACCGGTGCGCCGACGTCCTCTGCAATATATAAGAGGATCAGGTCTCGTAAATGCGAGTCTTACCCGAGATTCGGATAAAGGAGTCTTTTCCACCCCGCCTTTATTGTCCTGCGAATTTATGATCCGCAGGAAGTGAGCTGAATGGGCTGGATGTGGGTTAGCGGGTTTGTCAGTGGGACAGGCGCGGCTTCCGATTTACGAATCAGCGAGACTAAGGCTAGAAAAAAAGGAGGAAAAGAAAATAAGGCTACGAAGAAAGGAAGAAAAAAATAATAATAAAAGGCTACGAAAAGAGGAAAAAAAAATGAAGAAAAGAAGCCTCGCTCACTACCGCCGGTATTCTTCTCTTCGCGACGGTCTTGAAGGTTCCTCGAATTAATTTTATTTAAAAATCTGTAATTCCGTAAATATGATCTTCACAGAGTGGCTCTCAGTTCGCTGGGAATTTTACGGCGAAGTTCCCTTGGTAAAGTCCCTTCTGGAGGAGGGATAGAAATAAAAAAAGAAAAAGAATTATCCGCCGCCATTTAACGAGTGCCGCGCCGCGGAAGTGTCCGGCTGGAGGTAATCCGACTTTCCCCGGGAAAGTTCCACGCGAGTATTTCATTCCAGGCTCTGTTTACGAAGATTTGCGAGGATTCAGCGAGCTTAAGCAGCCTGATCCCGTGTCCGGAGGCTAGTGCACGATTCCTGGAGCGCGCCTTTCCCCTCGTAGGTGGAACGAAAGAAGCCTCGGACAATGGCGGACGGGGGTGATCTTTATTTGCCGTCCACCCGTGACGTAGGTGGCGTTGCACGCGCTTGGAAATTGGATTGTACTCAGTGGGGTGTGTCCACGTAGATGCGATGGAAATAAAGAGGAAATAAAAAGCGAGTTGCAGGCCTTAGCGAAGCCGCCGCACCGGCCGCCATCTTGGTTCCACATAGCGACGCTCCTTGACTTCGGAGTTGGACATCTTTTCGATTTTCTCGCACTGAAAGTTGGTTAAAATAAATAAACGCAAAGACTACCTGCTGCAGCTACCAGAATTGGTATTGGCAAATTTTTGGAATTTGAGCCGGCGGCAACAGAAAACGGAAATTCTAAATGCCGCGGATTCTAGTTAACGCCTGCAAAGTTGAAATAAACTCGACCTGTAAACGCGTAAAACTTGGAAAAATGGACATTCGCGAGAGGTTGAGACCCTGTTTATAATATTTCTGCGGTGTTTATACGATAAATAGGATTTATACTATTATTTTAGGCCTTTCGATTTCGGACGGTCTCGATCCAAGATGGCGGCGGTCGGGAATGAAGACTGAAGACGGTATCCATTTCTTGGGGGTGAACTCCACGTGACAGCGGCGAGAAAGAAGAAAATGGAGGGGTGCGTCACCGACGTCGGATTATCCTCCCTCGAAAAGGCTCTTTTATCACGACATTGTTTCTCTTGCAGCTTTCCTTGCGGCTCTCTCACTTGTGGCTCGGATTTCTCGCCGAGGGAACGTCATTGTGACACTCCCCGAAAAAGGAAAAGAAAAACAAGATACCGGAATTTCGCACTTCACATACCGAAGCACATTTTTATCGCATAAAGGAATTTTATTGGGTCTGCAAGAAGTCCCATAAATCACGTAAAATGAAGAGTGATACCTGATATTAGGATTCCGAGTCGGGGCATTCATTTTGTGTACGTGAAGTTTCGTAACGTTGTTATGTAAAGTTACTACGTGAAGTTACTGCTATAACTGATTCATGGTGTAATGAAACTTGGGAATATGCTAAACCGTTGTTCCCCTGTCGCGTCGGCCGAAACTTCCTCGAGACCGACGCCATTGTCCTGGGAAGAGAGCAAAATGTCGGGACGCTTGTGACGTCAACTAACGAAATTCCATTCTTGCGGATTTTTCCTCACAAATTATATCCCGGTGTCCCGCCCACGTGTTGTCAAATTATTAACAATGCAAATTCAGAGTCGCGGCCTCGTAATTGGCACGCTCGAAATCCCGTCCAATGAAAATCGCGCGTTAACGCAACAGCCCGACGTAATCTCGTTTTAATGACGCCAGGGTTCATTTCCTGAACCCTCGGCCTCGTGTTTTAACGTCATGTGAATATATTAAATTAATGCATTACGGCAGTTTGTTAAATTTCAGAGACTCGCCAGTTTAGTCGTGTATAGTTAATTTAATAGATACATAATATCCCCTCAGTAACGAATTACCGCCTTTCGTATTTATTCTCCTCGCTGCGATGGTTAACTAAACAACAAGTGCTGAGAATTATCTCTTCTTCGAGTTAAAAAAATCCGGCGGCCATTTTGAATGCGCGCTCCCTCCAGACGAGGAATTATTAAAACTCTTGATTAAGATCACGGCGGCGATATTGCCTGACAGGGGATAATTAACTATCGCCCCCAAAAGGGCAATTTTCATTAATGCTATCGTTAGCCGCGCGAATTATTGCTTAGAAATATCTTTTAATCGAGTTAATTGAACTACGGGGGCGCCGAGACGTCGGCGGCCATTTTGAATGCGCGTTCCCTGGAGGAAGGGAACTCTGTCGAAATTCTCGTTTACGATTATGTCGACAATGTTGGCGTTCATTTCCTTCACGCGGCAACACGTGCGACGATAATTCCCGCAACTGCGAGGAAATATCCACGGCTTTCTCGTTTTTCTCGATAAAACGCAACGAAACGACCAGCGGTTGCGGCTGATCCGCAAATTCGAAAAATAAACCGCATACCGGTCCGCGTTATTTCCCGGTAACGCGCAACGAAGAGTGGAGAAATTTCGAGACCTTTTTGGCATCTCATTGTTGCAAAATAACCTCGATGCACTTCGGCTTCCAACGAGGACTTTGCATTTAAATGCGCTTAAAAATAAACTGAGGAAAAAAAAGAATCCATTGAACCAAAGAAATATTTCTCCGAGAAATACCGAAGAAACTTCATCGTTTATCGATGTTTAAGTGCACTTCAGATCGGAATGCCTGGGAGTTTTATCGCGAGAATTTATTCCTCCTCGCAGCAGCCCGACCATGCGTTTACCTTTACTACTGGCGATGCATTACCACAATCGGATGCATTCGACATGCGATTTGCAAGTAAAAGCAGTTTCAGAAAATTCTGAAGAATTGAGAACTGTGGCGCGTGCTAAACAAAATTTTTTTGTTTAAATTAAAATTGTCCATGGATAACGTAGTGGACATTTTCAGCCCTCCAGGTGTGAAAAGGGGATCCCAAGGGCTATTTCCCCGTCTTCGCCACCCCCAACGGAAGCAATTACTCGGTTGATCGGGAAATCGCTTAATCGAAGTATCCCTGACTCGGCGGGGAGGTGGACGATCCGCCAGTAACCGAGAGACTTCGCCCCCGGACACGATTTTCCGCCTCGCTGTCCCGTCGCAGGGGAGAACCGTCCTGACAAAACTTGTCCCTCGAATCCCCCTCGACAACTTTCATCGGAAACGTTTCCTGCCATCTCCACCCCGGAAGGCAGGAAGCGCAAAAAAACGAAGGACCTCTCCGCGCAGCGGATCCTGCGCCCACCCCCTTCTCAAACCCAACTTTCCGCTCGAACGAACCGCGCTGTAAAAAATCGTCCCAAACAAAAGTTGCTCTACTCATCCTCCGAAAGGACATTTGTTGGGACTGTTTTCCCACAGGACGCACCCCTGAGGAGGAAACCTTCCCCGAAGCGTTCAGCCCTTCCAATCGTCGCGCCGACCTCACACTTCACCCTCGACTTACCGTCGTCAAAGTAGGGTCCTGCGCTGGTTCTCTCCGTCAGGACCACGAGGACGCAGAGTAGACTGAGCAGTCCGATTTTGGGATCCATGGCGGTTCTTTTCACTCCTGGAATCGAGTCCTTCCCTGCGGTGCAGTCCTGCGATTCGCTCTTTGCCTCCCTCGGCGAGTTTCCGAGACACCGGAAATTCGTAGGGCCGGGAAGTCCTTTCCCTTCGTTGGTCTTCCTTTTTCCTCGCTCGTCGCTGATCCCTTTCTTCTTAGAGAGGACCTTCGGAGGGTCTGCCGAGTCGACGGTGTTCCGGGTGCGAGTGACGGTGCGGAGGAGACATCGCGACTCTTATATAGACGAGGGAGGCGGGGCCAACCCCCGCGAGGGGGTTGCGCTCCCATGCGTACACGAGTGTACGTACGTTCGCAAGTGTGTGTGCGTTTTCGCTGGTGTGTATACGTTTACGTTGGTGTGCATGCTTTTTCGCTAGTGCGTGTGTGCGTTTACCCTATTGTGTGTGCGATTTTGCTGGTCAGTACGCATTTTCACCGTTGTGTGAGCATTTTCGCTGTTATGTGTACCTTTTTGGCGGGTGCACGTGCGTTTTTTCTAGTTTGTGCGCATCTTTGCTGGTGTGTATGGGTTTTCGCTGTTATGTGTGCCTTTTTGGCCGGTGTATGTGGGTTCTTTCCAGTTCGTGTGCACTTTTTTTAGTGTATGTGGTTCTTCGTCGGTGTGTGTCCATTTTCTGGTCCATGTGCACGTATGCGAGAGATAAGTAGGTGGAAGGAGAGAGGGGAGTGGATAAAAGAGGCGAGTGGAGGTTTAGGGTTGCGTGGGTCGCAGGGGGAGGTCGAGTGTCGCGGGAGAAGGGTCGGGTAAAAAGCTTCCCTCTCTTGTCCACACCGAAACCACGAGGGATGACGATCCTCCGGTGGAGCAACTGGTTGCGATGCAACTGGTACCCCAGTTCTCGTTGCTCCCTTTTTTTGGCGATCTTCAACTACCGGAAATAAGATTTCTTGAGGTCGAGGCTGGAGAATTTCCACTTTTAAGGGTAACCAACCGGTGCTCTTGGTTTTCTTGCCATTTTCGAAATTTATATAACTTGTCATTGTTATTTTATTTATTCGTCCTGGCATAAATTACCCTGCGAACAAAATTAAACAATTACACATTGAAAAGTTCAGGTCGCACCTGGAATTTGGAGAATTTCCACATTTCAGGGTAACCAACCGATGCTATTGGTTTTCCTGCCTTTTCAGAAATTTATATAACTTGTCATCGTTATTTTATTTATTCGTCCTGGCATAAATTACCCTGCGAACAAAATTGAATAATTAGACATTGAGAAGTTCAGGTCGAACCGGGAATTTGGAGAATTTCCACTTTTCAGGGTAACTAACCGATGCTTTTGGTTTTCCTGCCATTTTCGAAATTTATATAACTTGTCATTGTTATTTTATTTACTCGTCCTGGCATAAAATTACCCTGCGAACAAAATTAAACAATTAGACCTTGAAAAGTTCAGGTCGAACCTGGAATTTGGAGAATTTCCATTTTTCAGGGTAACCAAGCGGTGTTCCTGGTTTTCCTGCCATTTTCGAAATTTATATAACTTGTCATCGTTATTTTATTTATTCGTCCTGGCATAAATTACCTTGCGAATAAAATTAAACAATTAGACATTGAAAAGTTCAGGTCGAACCTAGAATTTAGAGAATTCCTTTTCTTCGGGGCGATCATCTGGAGTTCCTGATTTTCTTCTCTTTCATCCTGACATAATTAACCCTGTGAATATAATTAGGAACAAATGGGATATTTTCACTGAAGGGGTTTGACAAAGGGAGGAAAACGTGCCCAGTTATTACGGGCCGAAATAATATCCGCCTCGATCGTTACAAAGGGATGCAACGACGTCACGCTACTCGGACAAAACCCGGCAACGTGATCCATGTAAATGGACCACAAATCCCTAAATCGACTCGATTTGAAACCCTCGCCACTTTGCAGTCAGTCGAAACCCCTGGCACTTCGAGGACGAGCCGATTAAGGAAGGAGGGAAGTATCCTAAGTGGCGTGCAACAAGTTGCCGCTGACGTTAACAGCAGTTACAGACGAATCGAGTAATAAAATCCTCAGGACAATTTGCATACACGCTTATTACAAAACATACAACCGATAAATCTCTATAAAACGCTTCATGGGGAAAATCAAATTCAGTTTAAAATTTGAGGCGTTAATGACTGCCGACGAATGAAGAAATGAGATCTTCCCACCAGTTTGTATATACACTTATTACAAAATAACAATTAATAAGTCATTACAAAATGCGTTACGACGAAAATGAAAGTCAATCTAACATTCCAGATCCTTATTGTTATGGCTAAAACACGTTTTTAATTTGTAACATTTAAATAGCTAAAAGACGTCATTCAGCTGTAGTCTTCAAACGATTAAAAGACGTGTTTTAATATTGAAACAGAGGTATAAGCTCGAGCTGAAAAGTCAAAATCAAGGCAACCATAGTTTCCTGGACTGACTGACAAAACGAACCGATGAAAATTCTTCGGAATTTCTGTCTGTCCAGATTCGGCGAAATTAGATATCGGTTATCGGTTTTTTACGACGAAGCGGCGGACGCCTCTTATTAATTCCAGTCAGTCGTTTCCCGAAAATACGGGAAAGTTATTTGGGGGCCAATTATGGCCTCCCTAGCAATAGACGCGAGAATGCGACCCTTGTTTGTGACGGGCTATATTTTCTGGCCGACATCCGATCCACCCCCGAGAAGAGTCAAGTGTACGAGTTCCCCTTACGCCCACGTCGACGTCTTCGGCCGCGTTTTTAGAAATCGATCACCGACCTCGCCAGTTACCTTGCATAGACAAATCGCAATATCAAAATCGTCAATCTGGCCATAGGAATTTTCCGCGTCGAACATACGCACACCAGCATGCCTTAGTAGTACAGAATAATTTTTAAATAATTTTTTCTCTAATACTTGGTAAATATCTCAAGCGACAGATTTTTTTAAGATGTCTCGCAGAGTTCATTTCAAGACATCTAAGATATTTCTTGAGAATCTCAATGATATATTTATTCTTAATAATTTGGAATTCCTCTCCGGGTTGATTTCTTGCCGTTTTCCTTGAAATTTTTCTCGGCATTCTTCCATCTTGAATCTCCTCGCTTGGCGAATGACGCCCTTGTGGCTTTAATAATTTCATTTCCGAGCCAGGGAAGGGGGTGTATCGATTCTGGCCGAAGCAGGGGGTCGGCTTCGACCTTCTTAGTTGAATGTCCGCTTCGAACTCGCCTAAAAAAAGGCGTGGAAAAATGACGCCAACGCCCGATGCCGCGAATTATCCCTTCGGACCCCTTTTTCCTAGCGCGGAATCTGAAAAGGAAGAAAAACCTCCGGCGAAGGGTCGGCTAACGATTCCGCGGTTTCCCGTGACTCGTTATCAGCAGGGCATCAGGTGACAAATGACACTCAGGTGTCCTATAAATGCGAGGGGACGGATTTTCCTCCCTAAAAGGGGCGCAGGTTCGAAAACCCAAATCCTCTCAGCCGAGCGAATCTCCATCCTATGTAAAATTATTAAAATTATTAACACTGTATGAAAATATTTAAAAAAGAAAAACCGTTACATATTTATGTGTGCCGACCAAGACGTAGAAAGAAAATCCGACATATTTGCTGAGCTTTGATGGCGATCTTGAGGCAGCGATTGAAGCGCATTATCCTGATCGCTGTTTGTTTCCTCGTTTGTTGCTTTCTTCCTTCGTTAGCCAAGGGGGATTTGTTTTCGTGCGCAGATTGCAATTTACTGTATGTACATATTGATTCGAGAAAACACTCTTCCTAGTTCCATTTTGAGATGACTTCTTATTAGAATCAAAATATTTATTCGGTTAGGGATGAAGAACTGACTTGTAATAATTACCTGACATCGATTTATACGGTCAAATTTTTAGTACGTTCTGATTTTTTTATCGAAGTGGTTGCTCTCTCTCTTTCTACCGTTAAGATGTCGAATTTAAATTCCGCGCGTAATTCCAATACGCGTTAAATTCGAATTCGGAACGTTGGGAATAGCGTCGCCATCTAGGCGACGAAGTGTGAAACTCATTGCGACATCCACTTTTCGGTGGTCTCGCCGGTCATCGCCATTTTGGAAATCTCCTCTCTTAGCAAATGATAGTTCGTGGCGAACCGGCAAGAAAAACTAAAGCCGGAAACCCCGGAAAGAGAACTCGATCTAACGAGAATTGCAGGGATGTTGGAAAAGTAGTTTTAGAATTAATTTAAACTCGTGCCAGGGAGTTTTAATTCTCGACCGGTTAAGGCGGGCTGTGACTTAATAATTCTGAAAGTGAATCGAGTACGATGAATGTAGCGGACGGAGCGGGGATCTCGCGCTACGAAGTACTAGTACTCGTTGCTAGGTTATCTTTTGTTACAGCCATTGGCTTTTTCAGCATGAAATGGATTATGAGCCAGTTGGATCCCACGACAAAGGCGAAGAAAAAAGCGAAACAAAAAGTTTGTAAATATATGCATGTTATTTGTTGTCATTTGCAGTGGTATTAATGCCAAGCATGCAAAGGTGTCACTTAACCTTTCCATGGCTTCGACACCTACACCTGATTTTTTTGAATTTTCGGGAACATTGAATGTATTAGATAAAGAATTAACATCAGTGTACGTTTTTCAGGCTCAAGATCAAATACGGAAACTGGCAAAGAATGATAGTCTGGCATTGTCCATCGATACCGAACAATTAACAGATTACGAAATGATGATCGCTACTCATCTTATCGATCCTCGTGATATAAAAATTTCTTGGAATAATATAGCAGGTCTGGAACATGTTATTCAGGAACTTAAGGAAACGGTTATACTGCCGATTCAAAGGAAGGAATTATTTGAAGATTCGCAATTAACTCAGGCTCCAAAGGTTTACATTTAGTCTTATGGAAATGAAATGTCGATTGTAAACAATGAGTTATTAGACATAAACCATATTTTTAGGGTGTTTTACTCCATGGACCACCGGGTTGTGGGAAAACCATGATTGCTAAAGCAACTGCTAAGGAGTCGAAAACAAGTTTCATAAATTTAGATGTTAGCATTCTAACGGACAAGTGGTATGGCGAAAGTCAAAAGTTAACTGCTGCAGTGTTCTCGTTAGCAGTAAAACTGCAGCCTTGTATAATATTTATCGATGAAATTGGTAAGTACATTGTTTTTAAAAATCCATAATTTATATATGGTATACTTTGTAGCGTATCTAAGTCGATTCTTTCATAAACATGACGTCGATGAAACGCTTCCATAGATTCATTTTTGAGATCTCGGAATGCACAAGACCATGAAGCCACGGCAATGATGAAAGCCCAGTTCATGTCGCTTTGGGATGGTCTAATAACCGATCCGTCTTGTACTGTAATAATTATGGGTGCAACCAACAGACCAAAAGATTTGGATCGAGCGATTCTGAGGCGTATGCCGGCGACTTTCCACATTGGTTTACCTGTATGATTTTAAATTTCTATTATCTCCACCCAGAAGTACAAAGACATATTGTGAACATTGATTTTCAGAATGAAGAACAGCGAACGCGGATAATTAAACTAATTTTGAATAACGAGCCGATTGCAGATGATATAAATATTGCAACTTTATCAAGACTGACGGATGGCTTTTCTGGATCAGATCTGCAAGAGCTTTGTCGGAACGCATCTGTATATCGCGTCAGAGATTATATACGTTCTCACACTCAGTAAGTTTAATCAACCAATTTCAATAAATGTAGGCTTCATCTTTTAAACCCTTTTTAATCGTTGCAGGGATCCTGAGCATCCCAGGACAAGCTTGATTCCTGACGACGAAGAATACCATGACACAGTGCGACCTATTACAATGGAGGATCTCATGACATCTCTCAAGAAAATGAGAACGTCCAAAGTTCATACAGGCAACCTTACCGCTGCTAAATTCGACCTAGATTAAAAAAACCAATTTTTTCATTGAAATGTGAATATCAACCATTGTTTGCCTTTAACTCATTAGAAAAGAGGCAATAATTGTGGCAAAACATTAATGGTTGTCACTCCATTGCCATCATTCCATGCATCAAGGTTACGTAAATATCTCTGACACACAACGGAGATGTTACATTTCGAATCTGTCACCGAACTTTATCGTGTCGAGACAAATTATATAGTTTGGTAAGCCTGGCTGTTAGTCGTCAAGACTTCATGGCGTGGATACATCACCTAAAAGGATCAGCATGTCTCCGACGATTTTGGACTTAGAACCTTGTAAACAATGGTGCATCTTCCTTTAAAAAACCTCCCACGTAATATATAGTGGTGTTCGTGTTTGATGAAAGGCTCGATGAAATAAAACGTGTGAAGTGAAGTCTATTGTGAAACCGTTACCCAACCGTCATCAGTTTATAACATTCACTCGGTTCCTACGTTCATTCGCAAGCAAAGCCTCGTAGTGTATGTTCTCCCTATCAAGTAATACATAAGTCGTATGTTTTTAATGGGATAAAATTTTTTCACTTAAACCATGTTAGATTGTCGTGTTTAATAATTGTACCGATTCGAAACCGCAGGTGGCAATAAATCCATATTAGAAAGACTTCTCGTTACAGCTTTAGAGTTCTAAATGCGGTATATTATGTCAAGATCGATGATTCATAAAATACCGGAAAGTTACCGGTATTTTTCCCTGTAAACAAATCTAGCGGTCTCGGCTTGAATCGACAGGGAGAGAGCGACCGACTTATTTACATACAAGCGTGCGCGGCAGCCCGAACTGGCCCGAGTTGAGACATTGCTCACGAGTAGGGTCCATGATCGCGCATGACGCGCATTTGCCATTTGGGTTGGGCCGCCATTAGGGTATCAAGTGGTAAGTACACGAGCTGCCCGCATTCTCCACCGAGGGCAGCACAGAACACCATCGCGCGACCCAGTTTGTGAGCAATCTCCCAATTCATCTCTTATTGGAATCGGTGGCCGCAGAAATCGAACTTACCGACTCTCGATAACAAATCACGAGGTTACACGGTAACCGAAACGAAGTAACCTAACCTCTCCGTTACCGAGCGCACGGGCTTGGTTCGCGGCTCGGCCGCAAGGTTAGGGCGCTTGCGCGGCGCCCCTTTCGGCAGCGCCAGTTTCCGGAAATGAATCCCGCAGCAGGACAAAGCCCGCACCCTCCGTTGTGATGCCCAGGGACCGCCGGTGGGTCGAACGTTCTCGGGGGCACGATTCCTGGGGGAGGAGCCATCGCCAGGTCGCGGAGAGTCGGGCCGGGTGACGAGATGCTCGGCCCTTGGTGAGGTCCGAGAGAGAAAAAGAGAGGCGGTCGTCGCGGTCGGTCGCAGTGCCGTGGTATCGCCGGTGCCGGAGAGTGCGACCGAGCGATAGCGGCGCGCGACCGAGCAAGAGAGACGGAGCGGTCGCGCACGCGCAGTGCGACCGTCGCCTCGTCGGCGCGCGAGTCGGCCGCGGACTCGGCGGTGTTGAGCGGTCTCGCGAGCGGTGGTGAGAGAGCGCGCCGCGCGACATGGACGCCAGGAGGGCCACTTCCGTTGGCTAATTAAGCGTGACTTTTCCCTCTCCCGACCCGTCCCGCGAGCGCCAGGAGGATGCGAGGCTACGGGGACGAGAGGGCCCGAGCGCGGCGATGCTAGGCGTCCGCCGGGGCGTCGCACCGCCACAGACTACACGCCGAGGCACCGGGACACGAGACGCGCGACCACGGCACGCTCCGATGCATTGCTGGTGAGTGCGCGACCGATCCGGCTTCTGCGAGGACGGGAAAGAGCGAGCGAGGACCGCCGACCCGCCAGCGGGCTGCGAGCTCGAGCGCCGCCGGAATTTTGGGGGTTAGGGCGCACCGCTCGGGCCCCGAGACGCTTAACCTAGATCGCACCTGCCGCGGTGCGCGATTGCTTTCGGACCGCTTTGCGAATTCGCTTCTCGCCTGCTTTTAGGACCCTTGCCTGACTACGTTCGAACCTTCTCTCGAAACTACGCAACGATTCTTCGGTTTCGCTTGAGGTATGACTCTTCGGGGTATCTGTGGTTTACGCATGCTGTGGGGAGGGTCGAACACCGACTGTACGGGATTCTTGAAATGGTATTTTAACCGACTTTTGGGAATTAGTGGAGAGGGATTTTGTGGCTATAGTTCGTTTGGGTTGAGTTTTAGAGTTGCATAGCGTATGGGGAGAATGGAACCTTCGGAATGTAGTGACTGCGGATGCTTTACTTCGCCGGAGAAGGAGTACTTTGAAATCCTGGTCGGGAAGAAATTTAACGGGCTCAGGGGAATCGAGGGAAGGTGCGGGGTGTATCAGGGTGTGCTGGGATCGTTTGACCTAAATTCAAGGGCAAACGTGGGTTTTCGGGTTTGATTTAACGAGGGACGGTGTTTGTATGTTCTCGATTGTTGTGCTTGGCTTAGTTGGTAGGACTCGGCAAAGGAGCACTTCTTGGTTCTCATTAAAGGAGGAAATTGTCTTTCAGGAGTAAGCATTAATGTCGTGCCGGAACGAGCATAAAGAGTATGTTTGAAGAAAATGTGGACAGTTTTCGCAGGGATTAGTTTGTGTGGATCACTGGTCGCACGAGAACTGCAGACTACGAGTGCGACGTGCGTTAAGTAAAATGTTACGCCGGTAAAGAAACACTGGACGGTGTCGATTTACACGATGTATTGTGTGCCATTGCGGAAACTTGTTAAATCGTTGCCTGTGTGAAATGGTGTGTTTCGGTAGTTGTGTCGAGGTGGTGGTAGTGGTAATGAAGTTAGAACCAAGTTATGTACGCGCCTGGCTAGTGTCGGCGGGTGGAGGAAGAGAGAGATAGAGGGAAAGAGCAAGAGATTTTCCATGGGATGGCTCTTGCGCAGGACCTATGCTTTGCGAATTGATGGGTATATGCTTTTCCTGCAGGAGACCCACGAGCAGTCGTCTGAATAACAAGATCTCTGAGCATATCTCTGCGTCTGTAACACCCCTCCATGTTTGTCTGGAGGAACAAAGAGGACCAGAACTGGGCTCGTCTGAAACGACGGCTGGCGAGCCACAGGTGCGATAGGAGTATAAATATTTCTATCGTTAAAAAATATCTTACCAGCGATACTACCTTTGTTCGATCTCTGTGAACTACTCATCGGATGATCGTTTCTATGGCTGGAATTTATCCGAGTACATGAGTTTGCTCCTTTTAGGTTAAAGGCGCCGAAGAAAGTAGCGTGGAAAGAGAAGAAGGCGACAGCGGAGAAAGAGTTGGAAGACTGGTTGGAGGTGGGGTTGGCGAGCTAAGGCATAGCCAGCCGAGTATGGCCAATACTATCAGTAATATGAAAATGACAAACCCCATAAAGGGGCTAGTCAGTAAACGACGCAAACGATTCACAGAGGATGGGTTTGATCTGGATCTCACGTGTATCCTTTATTGCATAGGAGTATTTTGCTTTAACCAAAAATATTATAGTTACGGGCGATGGGGAGAGAAGATCTCCCTGAAAATTATCTTGCCAATGTATGTCTGCACGATTGTTATTTTCTTTAACGTTTCTCTTGTAACGACACAGATATAAGAGATAATTTGATAGCAATGGGATTTCCGGCAGAGAAGCTGGAAGGCGTGTACAGAAATCATATTGATGACGTTGTTAAATTGTTAGAATCCAAACATAAGGATCATTACAAAATTTACAACCTGTGAGTACAATTGTTCATCTCCTTAATCTCCGAATGTAAAATAATCGTTGAGCGACTTCTCATGGCTCGAATCGTCTTGTGTTTAGCTGTTCGGAGAGATCTTACGATTTTAAGAAATTTAAGCAAAGAGTAGCGACGTATGCCTTCGATGATCACAACCCACCGATGTTGGAGCAGATTAAACCCTTTTGTGAGGATGTTCATTCGTGGTTAACGCAACACAGAGAGAACGTAGCAGTGGTCCACTGTAAAGCAGGTAAAGGTCGGACTGGTGTCATGATATGCTGCTATCTGCTACACAGCAAGCAATTTGCCACGGCTGCGGATGCTCTGAACTTCTACGGAACGAAAAGAACGCACGACAGGTATACAGCAATTTTTGGAATCGCTCTCCAAGTATCGAAAGATTCTTGGGGATCGATGAATCCATTCCACGAGCTTAAATTTTGTGCATCTAAGTTTGATCTAATAATTTACCAATGCCTTCCTGTTTCTCGTTTGAGCAGGAAAGGAGTGACGATACCTTCGCAAAGGAGGTACGTCGGTTATTACGCCACTCTCGTTCAAGAAGGGCTCAATTACCAACCCGTCACCCTAATTTTGAGGAAACTCCAACTAGACCCAGTCCCCATTTTCAATGGGGGTCAAGGATGTAAGTCAGAATTTTGAATTTGTATCCTATTTATACATAAAATTCAATTTTAACAGAGTAAGGATGAAATAGTCATGTTAGCCATATTGAATATTGACGTGTAAGGTGAGGAAATCGCGGTCTATGAGGATTCCCAATCGGTATCCTAGAAGCGACTAACATTAAGTCAATTATGTCAATTAAGAGTACGATACGAAGAAACTAGGTATTCACGAAAAATACCAGTCGGTTAGTTTATAGTCGTTTCAAATTTCACTACGTGAATATGGAGGATATAAGGAAGATCCTAATCCACATGAAATTTCATTTTTAATAGATGATTTTTTAAAACATCTGTAAACATATTTTTAAACAATTCAAATTTCATGGGTGTCAGGACGTATTCACGTTGTAAACATCGAAACGATTCGATACACCCAGTTAAGAGAAAAAAATTTCCTAAACGAGATCCTCGGTGCCGCACTTTCGCATCACCTTAACCTTGCCTACGTAAATTCTATATTGGCGAGATTCCCGCAATTTTGAACCCCATGCTTTCTGGATTTTCAGACGTGCATTTTGTGATATCCGAATCCAACAAGAGGATATTCACGTCGGAAGAGTACGAGGTGCGAAAAGGCATGCACTCGATCTGCATCCCTCTGGAGCACAGCATCCCCCTAACGGGCGACATCCGACTTGATTTCTTCAACAGGCCGAAAATGAAGCGAAAAGTGAGTTGATAATAAATTAAACCCCGTGATTCCATCGCTGGATAGCCTCTAGTCACTGGTACGATTTTATTCCTTCTTCAGGAGAAGATGTTTCATCTCTGGTTCAACACGTTCTTCGTGAGAGACCACGTGGCGACAGAATGCGATAATGGCGAGTTGCCGGTAGAACGGTCGACGAGGGCGTTAAGCTGCGACGGGACCGCGATGGAGCTCCCGATGATGACGTCGCACACGAAGCCGAGGACGGGATCTTTGGCGAGCCTAGGCCCGATCCCGCCTACCCTGGTTTTACGTATAGACAAAGGTGGTCTGGACGACGCGCACAAGGACAAAAATCACAAGCTTTACAGCGCCGACTTTAAGGTAGCCACTCTCGTTCCCAACCTCGGCGTCCCGGACATTGGATCCGAACCCTAGTATAAGTTCGATAGAACCGATCGAAAGAAAGGAGGTGTTTTCTCTTTCTCCTCGCATGAAACCGACGGCGACGGTCTATTTAAGGGGACGTAAAAGCGGCATTCAAGGGGTCGATCGTTCATGAAACTTTTCCCCAACCTAAGCGTACCGAATCGTTTGAAACTTTCCAACGTGAATATGGAGGGTACGAGGAAGGTCCTGAAACTTGGGAAATTTCAAGTTTCATAAGAAATGTTTAAAATGTCTAAAGAAATTTTTTAAAAGTCGGTAACTCACGGGCATCGGTACCTTCCTTATACCCTCCGTGTTTATGTTGTCAAGTTTGAAACAATTCAGTAGATCTAGTCCGGAGAAGGGTTTCATAGACGAGACCTCTTTGTCCCCACTTTCGTGTCACCTTAATATGTTCTCAGGAAGGATAAAATAGCTCTTGGCATCCCGATTATAAGGTCTTCTCGGTTCCAGGTTAGTTTGTTCATGCACGGGGTCGGCGGCAGCATATCGCCCTCGGTGCCGGGCGGCGTCGCCAGGGCGGGCGAGGGCGTCCAAATCGGGATGGGAGGCCAGGAGACCCCCAGCGAGTCGAGCGACGCCGACAGCAGCGAATGCGACACCACCGGCGACGAGGACGGCTGGGAATCCGGTGAGTCCTCTGCATCTCTGGTGGCGAGTCGCTATCCTCTCTTGCACAGCAGTAGTCATGCACATACCAATACCCAGCATAGAGCTAGCCTCAGGGAGACCTCGAAGGGGTTGCTCGCGCGCGCCAACAAAGGTAGGAGTAGCCACCGGGAGGCCACCGTCAAACGATCCTCCACCTTCGTGCGCTCGGCCACCCTCGACTCGTGAACAGGGACTACCTTGCCTCCGGTACTTAAGGACCCGAGGTCCTCCAGGGACCCGATTCTCAAATTCATGGCGGATTTTTCTCACGTACCAGTGGATTCGCATTAATGATTTCGCACTGTTTGCGAAGAAGCGCACATCGGTCGACCCTTCGAAGTCGCGGACGGAACGGTCGATTTCGCACATGGAAATTGATCGTGGGAATTTTTCTCTTCAGACTTGCATGGAAATTTTGCCCAGTGCTGCGAGGTCCTGTACCAAACTCCATTTTTGCATGCGAAAGTTTCTAGACTAGCATGACGGTTCTCGCATTGCTGCGAAGTCGCGTAATTGGTCAACCTTTCGATGTCGTGGAGGGAATTGTCGATCTCGCATGCGAACGTGATGTTATGAACTCGAGAATCGGGTCCCTGTGCTACGTTGTTCTTATCCACTTGGGACAGGTTGCGAGCAGAGTGATAAATAGTACATTGTTGTAGTGCCTGGGTATTGTGGACAGTGGCCGACGAAATCGGGCAATTTTAGGGACATTTTGGAATTTATTAGACTTTGGTTTGTCAGCGGTATTGGACGTTGACCCCTTGGCTGTGGGAAACTCGAAGCGATTATCACAGTCAAAGGGTTGATAAAGGTACTTTACCTTTGATTGCCTTGAAGTCCCTGCCATTGGATGTTGGGGTTGGCCCGTGAGTTCGTGCCGTTAAGTATTAACAATTTTCTCACATGTATACATGCCAACTGATAACGGGTAGAATTTATGAACAAGTCCTCCCGCACTATTGTTGACTAATGATATTGAATTTTCACTTCTTAAAATGGAATATCCTTTGACATTAAATATAATTAATAGGAAACCGCATGAATTTGCGGGACCATTCGATTTAATTCTACTGCACTTTTAATATTAATACGTGGATAGATTGTCATAGTGAACGTCTATTTCTTTTTCATTTATTTCTTTTTTTCCCCTACATTGCCCGATTTTCTTCGTCGTGAACGATGCCCGTTTATTTATTACTTTGCCCGTGACGTGTATATATTGTATTTCTCACTAGCGTTGATTTATCTCGCGAGTCTCTCCGAGTGTCTCTTCGAGTGTTCGCGAGTTTTTTTTTTTTTTTCTTCTTTCCGCGCGATTTTTCACCATTTTCCGCCTCTTCGGGCTGACCGATTTTTCGTCTCCTGTACTTAAGGATCGGCAGCCTTCTCGTAGCACAGCCTGGCTGGTCTCGAATTCCCTTTAGTAAGACTCTTTTTTTTCTTCCCCCCCATTTTTGACTTTCCTTTTCACGACTTCGTCGAAGCATCTGGACGACGTTCGAGTTTTTGGGGGAAACGATTATCGCCGTTTTTTTTCTTTATTTTTTTATTTTTTATTTTTTTAAGAGATACAGAGGCAGTGACGTAAAACAGGTAGGGCTATCGTTAGATACGTTAATTGCTACCGAGAGGGAAATTAGTATAAATACATTGCTCCACTGGACCCTATCGGGAATGTTTTGTAAAAATTGTTGCCAGTTATCCTAGATACCGACGATTTAGTCTGTCAAGGAAGTTGATTTATTCGGCCTAGTCTAAGATCTTTTTTTTTTCTTTTTTTTCTTTTTCTTTACCAAGGCCGGACACTTGTCCGCGCTCTTAAAATTAACGAAACGCTTCGTACTATTTTATTCCCTCATCGAACCCTCGTTAAACGACTGGGAGATTAATTGACAATTAATTGGATGCCAATTGGCGAACGAAAACTCGAGGAATTACATGAATTACGGATGCTCATCCGTTACCGAGGAATCCGGCTGGATACCGTGCTCTGATTTTCTTTCCTTCCTTTTTTTTTTTTCCTTCTTTTTTAATCGCGATTTAAAACGATTTTTTCGTATATTCTTCTTTTTTTTTTTTTTTTCACGAGTGTCACGCGCTACGCCGTGAATTTTGTTATAAACGGGGAAATTAATATCCAGGGTTAATGTTCACTTCGAGCGGTGATTTCAGTTTCATATAAGCGGTCGTGAAATTGAATTCTCGCCTGAAAGGTACTCCCGAAAATTTCGAGATATTCTCGAGCGTGATAATGCATGTAATCGACGAGAAATTTCATACGGGATATAATCTATATTAATAATCGCGATAAACGGAGCAAGCGATTAATGATCTAAAAAGGAGGGGAAAGAAAAGAAAAATAGGATTGGTAAAGTCCGCAGCGCAATTTCTTTGTTTTGTTTCTTTTAACGTGTAATTTAATTTAAATCTGTATATCCAGCGAGGTTACTTTTAGTTGTAACCGATTTAACGTGTAACGATCGTTAAGTTTAAATATACGCGGTTAGGTTAGCGCGGAATAATCGGAAGGGAAAAAGATTCTAATTGCTCCGGGGTCGATAATCGAGGTGACGACTGAATTAGAGTTAAAAAGAAAAGGAAAAAAAAAAAAAGAACGGTGTCCTTAGGTAATTCTCTGAAACAATTGGCCGTCGCCAATTGTTCCCGACTTACGGTGAACCTGACAATAGACGAGTGTACATGTCGGAGGGGCGTGTATACACCTTTTAGAAGTACAAATCGAATTACCTGCAGTGTCTCGAGGAAAGGGGATTAACATCCACTTGTAATTGTAAAGTGCGCTTGCTACGATAATTCGTCGCGATAACTCGTCACGACGATTCGTTTGTAAACGACGTGTACAGAGTTGAAGTTAGGGAAGAAGGTGATCCATTTGTCCCCTTTTTCTTTTTTCTTTTTTTATATATATATATATGTACAAGTTATCCGTTTGATAAACGTGTGACAGTATACTAGACAACGGTCTAATATACATGTGGTACGCGATATGTTGACATTAAACAAGTTATCGATGCCGATTGTATGTTCTTGTGGTGTACAAGTTACGATGTTGAGGATTTCGTGTGGTTTTTGGACAATAATCGGTCGAGGAGCGACGATTGTCGCAAAAGGACTGTATTCCCGAAGCTAGCATTGTAAAGATGCGGATAGATATATATATATATACATATGTGAAGTTTGTAAATACGTAGGGCAGTTAGTGAATTTCTGTTGACGTATTGGTAATGATATATGATAATAATTAACTGAATAATTAAATCGTAGGTAGCCGAATGTTAAGAGACGTCGTCCGACGAACGTCCGCGTTCTTCTTCTTCTTCTCTCTCGTTTTTTTTTTTCTTTCTTTCTCTTTATCAGAATTCTCATGGAAATTCCGCGATATTCGCGCCCGCGAGGACGGTTAACGAGCATTTTTAATTACCTCTTTCTTACGTTTTATTGTAGACTGCATGGGTGTCTAATGCTTTAGTGGTAAATAAAGTACCTGTAAGAAGTTCGTATTTCCTTCTCCTCCCTTCTTCTTCTTCTTTTTTTTTCTCCCCCTAAGTAGACGAATTCGATTCATTCACTGCTTGCTTCGGAAGTTACATATCGCGGGAGTTCGAGATTGCCGGGTTTCTTTACTCCCCTAGCGAGGTTTCCACTAAAAAATCACTATTGACAATTGGGCCGAGCTCGAATTTTCTATTAAATTGTTGATATGTGTATCGTATCTATAAATCATCCGGAAGATGAATACTAATTGAGATCGATGAACCGTAAAGGGCACGAAGGTACGCGCCTGAGTTTCGCGCCAAGTACACCGAGATAGAAAAACGCGCAATCATTAAACCAAAGAAGTATTTCTGTCAATAGTACCGAAAAAACATTCTGTTAATTCGGAGAATAATGATTTCACTCGAATTAAAATGATATATAAATTGTCACGGTTCCGAGGAAACGTTGCATCAAATTTATTCGAGCCCACTTGAGTCGGATAATTAATCTTCGAATTAATAAGACGCCTCTTTGGTATTATTCAAGGAAATAATTCTTTCGCTCGATGGAAATTTTTCTTTATCAGGGCAAATTTGTGCACGCATACAAATGAAATATTATAAAATATAACAATTGAAAGGAAGTATCTCGAAAATTGTGTACCCACATTTTGCGAGGGCTCCGGGTTCGATTTTTTGGGTGATTTATTTTCTCGTTTTTTTTTTTTTTTGGTTTTTAAGAGGAAATCCGGCAATTTCGAACGACACGTTTACACGCGCAAGTCTGATGGCCGAGTATGGATGCTCGGCCGGTTTTTTTTTTTTTTTTTTCACCGAGATTTCGAGGAAGTGCATGTTATTAATTTATACACACACACACACTGTTTCGAGGCCGGTATACGAGAGGATCGTGCAGAGTCTACGTACAATGACGATTACTATTGTATAATTATTTTTTGTGATATTATCATACTTATATACGATTACCGCTACAGCTACTAATACCTACCGCTCCGTATCGTTACCGCTCTACCGTCATCATAGCTGCGATAATTGCGAGTACGTTACGATGATTTCTAAGTGTAATGCTATGTTATGATTGTACTTCTGTAATATCGATATCCTGGTATTAAGATTATATATATATACACATGTTGTAATTACATTAATGGCACTCCTTGTGGTGTTCTCCAGTTTAATCTTCTCTCTCCTTAGAATCCGCGATGGATCTTCTCCCTCGGCTCTTTAACACGTTAGGAAACACACGTAGCCCCTAGGATACCTGAATTAGTTTATCGTATGCATATCATTAGTTTATCGTCTGCATCGTAGCATGCCTACGCGAGTAGTCGAGCACAGGCGAACGTTTATTGTATCTTTTAATGGATTAATTCCTGACTGGTGTGTGTGTACGTGTGCGCTTTTCTTCCTATCGACCCACACAGGGGGGTCGATGTAGATATTCTCTTTTGTCAAAAAGTGTACGTCATATTGCGCATATCGTTTCCAGAAATGATATCGAGATTCACCACGTGTAATTTTTCTATTTTGCAAATTCCTTCCGTGATGTAACCTCACGTCGTTTGATTTTTGTTATCAGGCTATGAAAATTATTATCGATACGCCGTATTTTTTTCTTTTTTTTTTAGTCTTCGAGATCAACGTTGGACATTTAGTGTTTTGGATTACTACGATGTAAAGTATATTATGGAAGATTAAATGTATTTTTGGCAAAAGAGTGTTCAAATCGACCCACTGGTCGGCGGTGGGAAATGCGAAACTCGGATTCGTTAGCGAGGTTTTATATGATTTTTATGTCTCGTTTTCGAGTGCTCCTTGTCATGTAGTGCAGTGGGTTTTATGTGTATCTTCTGTGTCAATTTGTAACGCACTGTTGCAGTCGCATGATGTGTGTGTGTGTGTGGGTGGGTGCGTGGGAACGTTCCAAAGTTGCCCCTCACGTCATCCAAATCTTTGCACAAAGGAGACTCCTTTTTTTAATAAAAAAAAAAGCACGGATTGTTGCCGCGTCCGAAAGGGAAGTCAATTCGTGAAATCACGATAAAGAAGAAAAAGAAATTGAGATGAATCGTTAGGGCCCAATTCGGAATGTTCTTTTGATAGAGAAATTAATATAAATCATTTTCATACGCTCAAAATCCCGTGACAATAGATTTAACTCAGACCGTGAGTTCTTTTCATAAACAAATGCAGACCCTTTCCAAGCTCTGACAATATTCCGTGGAAAATTGCCTCGCTAAAAGTGATTAAAAAAGAAATAATAAATTCCAGGTGACACCTCTTTCTCTCTTTCTCTCTCTATCTCTCAGAGATCCCCGATTAATACTCTAAACGTCGGTATTGATTCGCTTCATCGACGATTGCAATTACTTAGCATTTAACGCCGTTAAGATCAGGATATGTGCGATTTCGCGCCGAAAGAAAAAAAAGAAAGAAAGAAATGAATCTTGATTTCCAGCGAGCCTAGGAAAATCGGAGGTACTTCGTTTATCTTGAATTACTTGGCCTTTTTCTTTTTTTTCTTTTTTTTCATCGCCGCAACTGGCCGCATTTTTTTTTACTTTTTTTTTTTCCCTTCTGTTTCCATTTTATTCTTTAGGCATGCAAGACATAGCGATTCGTGAAAATGAAGAAGTTAACGTCGAGGAGAGTCGAAGTCGGCGTTCGGGATTGAGTCAGGACGAGGCGGTCCCTTCGGATGTATCGCCACATATCCTGGTCGACGATCATTGACCTAGTGACTGACCAAGATGTCTCTATGTGTCTGTTGGTCAGCAGTGGATTTGGATCAACGTGTCGGCCGGTACCGCCTTCTGTCGGACGGAGGGATGATTGATGTTTTGTGAGCCCATCAGCCATCGTCATTCGCCTTCGAACTCCGGTGTCATTGACATTCTAGCTTGCCGAGGTGTGGACCCGACATCCGCGGATAAATAATCCCCGACGACCCTTTCGCTCTCCTTCTTTTCACTCGTTCCCTTCCTCTTTTTCTCTCTCTCTCTCTTTTTCTATATTATTTTTTTTTATATTTTTTTCTCCTCTCCATTCGAGCCATATTTTATACCGACGTAACTATTGTCACCTCTCGTCGAGGATATCGGCGAGATGCGATTTTATTTCCGCACCGACGAAGGGAAGGACGCGCGAAAGGGAGGACGAAGAAATCGCCGACCTCGACCTCGAGAGCAGCCAGAGAAGAAATGCGAATTTTCGACTCGGCGTCGATTCGACTGACCGAAATTGCGGATCGATTCTTTCCTTCTTTTTTTTTTTTTTTTATTTTAATCTTATCAGGCGGGTGGGAATGTGGACGAGGGATGCGTGGACCCCTAACGATTGGACTGTGGCGAATGGGTTTGGAAAGTGATACCGGGAGAGAAGACTTTTTTTTACCTCGGGTCGCGGCGATTTTTTCAATGCTTAAATTTAAATCCAGTTTTCTTTTTTTTTTAATATATGTATAGAAGTCGCCATATAAGTGAGGGTAAATCGTACCGATTCGTGGTATGTGCGGTTTAACCGAGCTCTTTAGCTACCACCCGAAAAGCTTCATAATCTGGACCCCTTGGTGCACTTTTATATCGCCTTAAGGGGATGTGAAAGCGGCGTGAAGGGGTCTCATTTATGAAACTCTTCTCCGAACCGAGTGCGCCATATCGTCTAAAACTTGACAATGTGAACATGGAAGCCACAAGGGAGGTCCTGAAACCCATGAAATTTCAATTTCAAGATAATTCGTTCATACCTATTTTCAAGAATTTTAATGACAAATGAAATTTCCCGAGTTTCAGGACCTGCCTTAGGGTCTCCTTATTAATGCGGTAAAATTTGAAAGAGATTGGGTACACCCAATTCGGAGAAAAGTTTCATGAACGACTGACCCCTAAGATGCCACTTTCATAGCACCTTAATATTAAGGGAGAGGAAGAGTGGCTCTTCTTTCTCGCACCTTGCTTTTGTCCTTTTTATTGTCGATTTGATGGGTCCGCGTGTCCTTCCGTTTTACACTTCTCTCTCTCTCTTTCTCTTCTCTCTGGGCGCCTCTCGTCTCGCGTCATGTGCTTTGCGCAATTCTGCATGCAATATCGTACGTTTCGTTACATAACGTGGACGCGCCGGCGATTCTCCCATCTGGTGGACACTCTCCAATTCCGGATTCTCCGTGCTCCATGGGAGAGAGAGAGTCGAGCGCGCCCTAGGCCTTAGTATTTTTATAGGGAGTTTAGGGAGTAGACGCGAGGAAGACGCGAAATTCGCCGATCGTTTGATAAGCACGTGTATATTGTATTTTGTACGCGAATCGACGCCCCAACATTTCGGACAAACTGTGCGGAGGGACATTGTTCTTAGATCTTACTGTTTAAGGCGCCCCACTGTTTCTTTACTTTTCTTTTCTTTCTTTTTTTCATAATCGAGAGCTCGAACTCCTGCCTCATTTTTACCGCTCTTAGTCCCTTATATATAGTCTTTAAGGGGGTGCGAAAGTGCCATCTGAAGTGTCATTTGTTCATGAACTTTTCTTCTAATTGGACGCGCCGAATCGTTTCTAACTTTACAACGTTAACGTGCAGGCTACAGGGAAGGTCCCGATACTCGTGAAATTTCATTTCATGTAAGAAATTTTGTAAAAAAAAAATTAATTGAAATTTCATTAGGTTCAGGACCTTCCTTATACCCTCCATGTTTGTATTGTGAAGTTTAGACCGACTCGGTACCCCCAGTTAGGAGGAAAGTTTCATTAACGAAATTTTTTACGCCACTTTCACATCGCCTTAAGGGAAGTGGCTTCTGAGGCCCCCCGTTCATTTCCACCACGCGACTCTCGTTTTCTTTCTTTCTTTCTTTTTTCCTTTTTCTTTTCTTTTCCTCCCCTCTTTTACCCATCGATCTTGACGCGGTGTCTGACATAATGTGAATACAATTATTGTTTATGTTACGCTTGATATTGTACTCGTCAGTTTTACCCAGCGAGGGAGGCACCGAGGCGTTTCAAAAAATTGCGCGGGATTTCGAGGTCCCCTAACCTCAAAATCCAGGAGGGTCGCGGTTGACACTAGAGGAGGTCGGCTATGATATATATATATATATGCGAGGACACATTTTTATATATTATGTGTTGGGAAGAGAGAGAAATACACTATACAGAAAGCAAGACTATTTTCGTAAGGAATAAATTGTAAGTCAATAATACGGCTAGGAAGAGAACGGCACCGACTATTGGCCGCCTGTTTCTTGTTTTTTTTCTTGTCTTTGTTTCTTTGTCATTAATCGAGACATCGCAAGCCTCACGTTTGTAATGTTTCCCAGCGTACGTATATATAAGAGTACATATAAATATATAAACACACGTGTATATTTATATATTTTTATATATACCGACGTCAAATCTCTCGTCGGGAAACGTCGAACGTCGGCATTCTTCTTACTCTAATTTTCTTTCCTTTTTTCTTTTTTTCTACTTAACATTAATGTCCTTAACAATAAAACGCAAGTGATGACGATAACGTCGGACTGCTTCTTTCTTTTATCTTCAGTTTTTGTTCTTTCTTTCTTTCTTTTTCTTTTCCTCAAAATTCGGCCTCTGCGCGTTAAAGAGTGTAATTAGGGTTAAAAGTCGACGTTAAGCTCGTGTTCGTGACAATGGGAAGGAAATCTCGTCGAACCGAAAAAATATATCCTCGAACGGTACCTAAGAAATATTTCGTTGGCTCGAGGAATAATTATTTCCCTCAAACTGGAATAACACTGGATGTTTCTTCGGGATCATGAGAATTTGAGTTAATTCAAGCGAAAGAATTATTCTTTGAATAAAAATATCAAATTTGGTACAATGGCGGACATGAATGCCTCCCCTGCAGATACGTCATCGCCTGTGCAGGATGGGAGGGCATTGATGTCTCCCAGTGTACTGTTCGAGGAGATATCAAGAAACTCGGTAGAGTTTCGAGCCAAATACATTTTTGAGCGAGAAACTCATTTCATTGGTTGAGTGACCATTGTTTCTCGTTTGTCTCAGCGGGGAAGTTTACTTTGCAACTCGGATTCCTGGTGGAAAATTGTTATTAAAAAAAAATATATATATATACATGCGATTCGAGTAGCGAAGTCAAATTTTTTTTCTTTTCTCTCGTTTCTTTTCGCAGACCAACTTTCGACACGGAGCTTCGGATTAAGTCACATTGTAAAAACGCTGTCCGAGGGACGAGGAACGAGCTTTTAGCCGCGACTACGCATATAGGCTGCCATTGATTATCGATATTGTATAGTTTATTGATCACGATTGATCGTCATTGTACATTATTAACGGCGATTGTTGTCGTACAGTTCTCGCGACACTTTTACAGTCTTATGATAGGGATATAATTCACTCGACACGCGATCAAGTCCATTGTTGTTAACAACTTGCCGACGTCGAAAGGGCGTCGCTCGAGCTGAAGAGGAATGGCGCGAAATTTGAATCCCTCGACTCTTCTTTGACACCGGCGATCGTTTTTTCCGCAATAGAGCGGTCCTATTCGGAAGACACATCGCTGGCCAGGGTCGAAGGAAAGGGACGAAATCCCTGGACTGAAAGAAAAAAAAAGATCTCGTCGAACCAAAGGGAAAAATTTCGTTAATTCGAAGATAGATTATAGCGCTGAAATAAACTCGAATAAATGGGATGCAACCTTTCTACGGAATTGCGAGTATTTAATTGAGTTCGAGTCGAATAATTATCTCTCGAATTGACGTAAGTATTTCTTTGGTTCGATGAATTCTTCTTCTTTTTTTTTCTCTCATTGGAAACGAGGGGAGCGAAAGTCACCTTGACTTTTCGTTTGATGATCGGAATCAAAGGGAGAAATGGAAATTAAAAGGAATTTCTAGCGTTTAAACGACTTTAAAGTGAAACTTCTTAACGCCAGAGTGTGGAAGATTTCGTTATTAAGGAAAATTAGACAATTATCTAGGGATTTATTATAAATGTATGCTAATTCAGTACCGACGGTTCAGATTTATACATTTATTGGAATATCATGTATGAATTAAACCTGTATGAATCTTTGGGATATTTTTAACAGTGTAGCCCTGAAGAGGAAGCCTCATTAATTAATAATGTCTCTTTTTTGGCGGGGAATTCCGCGTGGCCTTGAGGAGTAATTGAAATTACAGTACCTTGGCTGAAGAGGTTTCACTTCAAGTAGGAATTAAAAGATGGAATGCTCGATAAACAATGTCCAGGTGGAGGAACAATTAGGAGAACGTTCGCAAAGTGGGGGTTTACAGTATCGAAGTACCTAAATGTTGCTAGGTTATTAATGGTTCTCTCTTTCTCTCACGTCATGGATATGCAATAGATACCGAGGAATAAATGTTACTACGCAGTCTGTGTAAGGATAACGCGTAATTAGAGGTATAAAGGTGTAAAGGTCGCCAGGAGCAATGTACGATATGTCGTTAAGGGTCCCCTGGGAGATGATTTTTCTACACGCAGAAAAACATTCGGTCGAATCAGGCGAAATTTGTTCTTCGTTCGTAAAAAGTATGCTTATTATACCGACTGAAATGAATAAATCGATTCAACTAAAACGGGGAGCAGTCAAGTGCGATTAAAATTTGATTCACTTGTCCGGAATGTTTGTTTTAACGTTAAATAAAAACTGGCGATTCAGGGTTGGTGAACCTGATTCCCTTTTCTTTATTTTTTCTGCGTGTATTGTCGGAGGTCGCGAAAGATAAAATGCGAATTTTTCTTACTTTCGATGGTAAGGAAAAATCGCATTCAATTATGGGACGACGTCTCGATGATTTTGCAAACGCAGATCCGCTTTTCGAGTTTGCACGTCGAGGACGAATTCTCCCTCTCTTTTCTTTTTTTTCCCCCCTCCGGTTCTCCCTTGAAGATCGTTGTACCCTTTGTAACTTATCGCCCTGTCGATGGGACGATTCTCCTCGCCATTAACACCTTTTGTCACGGAGCGTTTCCGCAGAGCCTAAAAATAAAAAGTACTTTAATACATGGCGTGTCGAGTTTTGTCGTTGCGTGCGAATTTTCATCAACCACTGTTTTATGATACTTCTTTTCTTTTCTTCTCCAACAAAACGTCTTTGGGGATACTTTGTTAGGACACGTGAAATGACCTCAAGTTGTGTTACCTTCCCAGGTTGATACGAAGAGAAACTTCCTTTAATTAATTATTTAAATTTCACCATTGTTGCCGCTGCCGATCTCTGCAAATCGCGTCCTGTAATTGTCGGATTTATCGTTACACATTTCTTTGCGTTTAAATTAAAGTCGGGACGCCGGAAGACGTCTCGTTGAAGCATGACCACAAAGGTGACAAATTAGCCGAGCATTAATTTAACAAGAATTTCTGTAAACAAATGGAAAATCGACCGAGTCAGTCAGAGTTTGAACGATCATGAGACGGCCTCGAAGAACTTCTACCTCGACTTGCATTTCTTTTTTATATTTTCCCTCCTTTTACTCGATATTGTTTATTAACAACAATAAGCAATGACTAACGAGGATCATTGTTGAAGCGTATGTTCAGGCTCTTAAGAGTGGAATTTCGCGTTTTCGGGAAATAAGAGTTTGCGTTCCGCTTTTTTTTTTTTACACGTACTAACACTAATCACGTTTCAATTCCGCAGGAGTTATTAACGTTAATTACCGAAGGTAATCCCAGGGTGAGATCTATTATTTAACGAGTGCATAACGACGTCGCTTGCAGATGCATTTCCAGTAGAGGTGTGCATGCAGTTTCACTTTGGACTTTGGCTGATTTAACTCGACTCTACCTACTAATTCTCCTCTTTATACCTCCTGCCGTTTCAGACTATTTATGTTATTGTTTATTTAATTAAAGGGGTGTTCCTGCTGCCCATTAATTCCCGTTTAATTCTTCCAGCGCATTTTACTGTCTCAAGTATTCGTTATTAATTTTTATTCCCGAGTCGCGCCGCAGCAACACCCCCGGATTAATTAATTACGTCCCGTAATTCGCAAGAATGTGCAATGCGTGCCAAGGAAATATATGCACTTGGCGCAATGTACCATTCGCGCTAATTGTACTTGTGTTTGTATCATTTGTGACACCGCAGTTTGGTCATAGAAAAAGGACAAATAGAGAAAAATCCGGTGTGACTCTTAGCGCGAGGCATGCGGTATCTCGAAACGTAATTTTTCGGTATCCAAATGTTATTCTGATAAAAAGATTAACGGGACTCTTTTTAATTTTTCGATTTTGCAATTATCGAGAAGAAATTTTGCAGGGTTCTAATCTCTCGACTCGATAACAACGTATGTACGAGTAATGTATAACGCGTGAAAAATTCTTTTTGTCAGTTTATTTTTGATTGACAATCCAGAATAAGAATGACAAAAAAGAAATATATGCAAATTTCGACGCAGCGATACCGCAAGCCTCGCACGTGCTCCTTATCACAGGCGCAAGTACCCGTTGTACCTTATCACATACACTGTTAAAAAGAACCGTAATAGACTCGGGAAATACACTAGTAGACTTGTTTACGTGGTTTTTAATTATACAAGCTGGTTTAAATAATTCCTCAGAAATCGGGACAAAATTCAAGACTCGCATCGTACGTCCATGCGTCTTGTTTAATTGAAGGAATAATTTAATTCAAGGAATAAACTCGAATAAATAGGATGCGACGTACCTCTCCGGAATTACGATAATTTATTTGAGTTCGAGTGAAATAATTGTTTTTTAAATTGGTGCGATATTTCTTTGGCTCGATGAATTTTTTTTTGCTTACGTCGATTCGAGTGAAAATCGTCGCACAGAGATTTGCAATTGTATTTACTTTGCGTACCGATTTACGGGGGAAAGTAAGGAAGAGAAACAAATTGTGAGAAACATTTACAGAGATTTTTAACAGTGTACGCGCAAGTACACGACACCTTATCAGGTATCTGACATTAGGTCTGCTTACAGGGGAGTCGACGTACTTGTGACTTTGAGACTTGACTGATGGCGGGCCAATCAGAGCTAAACCGAATCACAGACGATCAACTTTCGACTGCAACGCACCGCTTGATTACCAATCGATCGATCCGCCGATCGGCCACTAGATCGATAATCGAACATCGCATCCTGCCTGCCATCCGCTACGCATGCACACCCAATTGCATCCTTACAATTATCGGAACAGCCCACGGCAAAAGACACTGTCGGTTTTTATTATCTTTATTTATAGACACTAGTTCCAATTATTCTCCGTGTATGTATGTGACGTTTACGTTTCGAGAGAGAGAGAGAAAGAGAGGGAGAGAGTGAATCCCCGTTGTTCAGTTTCCGCCGATTTTCGCCCCGTTTTTTTTTTTAATTATTTATCGGTGTTAATACTCCTCCGTTTAGTTTTGCTTCCATTCGTTTTTTTTTCCTTCCTTTTTCTTTTTGAGAAACTCCCTTGTCCGGGGAATTGTCGACTTCCTTTGTGTTTTATGTGTAGATCCAATTTTTTTTTTTTTATATCGTGTGTACACTGGGAGACATCAATGCCCACCCATCCTGCACAAGCGATGCCGTATCTGCAGGGGAGGCATTCATGTCCGCCATTGTACTTTAGTTCCGCACTCGGGAGGTAATTACTGGTCTAGAGAGATAATTGTTTTGAATTGTTATAAAAAAAAATGTTTGGGGAAGAAACATCGGGAAAGTGGAAACTACTCGGGAATTTCCGGGGAAGAAATGAAGTCCACTCGTTCTTTTTTTTTTTTTCGTTACGTGTATCTTGTACATTTCTTTGGTTTACACGGCTTTGAAATTCTAAGGGTTAATTTGTGCGTTCAATTTTTGGATCAATAGTCGATAATTAATGACACCTCGTCGGGAGATAGTTTCTCAAAAAAATTGAGGAAAAATGGAGGGCGACGATAATCGCCACAATGGAGGAGTCGCGTCTGCGATTTCCGTTTAAGGGTTGACAAAAAAAGAAAACAATAACCGAAGAGGGCGAAGTGAAAATCGAATGAGAAAAGAGGTCGGAAGGGAAATCTCGACCGACTCGCGAGGCTTATCGCTTCTGTCTTGCCTGGAGAGAGAGATCCGTATCAGGGGAGAGGTCTGATAGTATCTGATAATGCATAGATTGTGATTTAACTGTTACTAGGTGATAACCGTACGCCCACTTTATTTATTTATTTGCGAAGGCATGGCGAGCGCGACCGCCGCGGCTCCTCGAATCGAGATTAGAGATCCTCGAATGTTAAGACTTGCATGTTAATAGACACGGAGAGCCGCGAGGCGATCGCAGGAAAATTCGTCGAGGGCTCCTGCCCTGAAGGTGTTACACCACGATGAGCGTCTGAACATCATTAACACGTTTGCCAGTCTTTTTCTCTATAAAGGAAATAAATTAAACATTTTTTTTTTTTCACGTTACGATCAATTTTACCGGCTGGTGGTCCTGTAGAAAATTATATACGTATTTTAGTATGCACTTGGTGCGAAACTCATCCGAGGATTTTTCTTTTTCTTTTTCTTCTTTTTAAACCCGGTTTTCTTCATACCTTCGTCGTGGTGTGACGCCTTTAATTACTCTACGATCAAATCGGCGATCGAATTGATATCTGATTTTCGATCGAGTTTGCGCGCGAATCCCGGTTAGCGTCCTGTATTTCTCGGGGCTTAGAGGTTATGTCGGTTTCTGTCAATTTCTCGAGGTCTCGCGCCCGTACGTTCGCACACAGGAGATGTAACGCGTTTAAAGGAGTGACTTTTGTCTATTGTAAAGGGACTCTGTTTGTCGGGGAGTTGTCGGTCCCAGGCAACGAAAGGACGCGCGTGATCGTTCAAACTGCTTGGCTCTTCCTGCTCTTTTCCACGGCGCCTCTCGACGAGCACTCGACTCGTTAATTTTCTTATCCAACGGCGGTTTAACGTATCCGTAGAACTGGGGGGATTTAGACTCCTTAATTACCATTTCTTCTGTCTCCTGAGACCCCAGAAACACTCTGAAAACTTGTCGATATGCGTTCATCGCTCGCGATGCGCGCGACCTAATCTGATCTTTTTACGAATTTAATTCTGATATTACCGCTCATACAGTTTGAGGAATGTTGCGAAAATCGAAAATCTCACGTCGAACGAATAGAGGGAAAAATTTTCCGAGCTGAAGGATGATAAATTAGAGGATATGCGAATTATTAAGTGGAGAAGTGGGGAAACGCATGGCCGCCATCTTGGATCGCCAATAAGCGTCCCGTAAAACGTACGAGCGGTAGTTTTTAAATTACTTTGTATTAAATTAATATTCTGCGTGATTTAGGAATGAAAAAGGATGCGGAGTACCTTTTTTCGAGCGTGTTTTACGCGTGACGCAATGTCGAGTCAGTGTTTCGCGTATTCGTGTCGTAAAATGGTGGAAAAATTTGGGGTCGAGGCAGAAGACGCTTCCTTGTCCGACCTCTGAATATTCTCCCCTAAATCCCTACAAGTTCTACGAAAAACATTTCTAAGAGAAGTTCACCTCTTCTCATTGTCGTTAAGTTAAAAGAAATACTGTAAGAATTTTAAAAAGAAGCGCTCGTTGCTCGGCATGAGACGTGGGCACAGGAAATTTAGAGAGAAATGAATGTTTAAATTAATTATTCAAGCGAAGGCCGGGCTACAGGTTGTTTCGCGGTGACACAGGTCTCGGCTACGAAAATCGCCTCAACTGTGGAAAAGAAGACTCTCGTCGATCCAGAAACTTCCTTGACGAGGTAGCGGGATAGAGAAAGGAGCTCCTGTCGAGGATAAACGATTGGCGCGCCTCTAGCGAGATTTTCGGTCGACACGTGACACCTAACTTCTTTTCTAGCGCCCACGTGCGGATGTTCTTTCGTCGCGGAGGGTCGACGAGCTACTCGACACCTGAGGGTCGAATTTCGATTGAGGGAAACGTTGAATTAAAACCTACGAAGTACAAAGACGTTGACTTGATCTCAGATGTAGATTAAAGGGTGAGCTACATTCGCTGTTTAAGAGTAACACTCGCCGTTAAGAGTACCTTAGAAACTACTTCTCTTGTGTAACTTCTTCCTTTTTTTTTGTTCTTTCCTCTTGTTCTTTTAAAGGAGTGGCGGAAACGTGTAACTTAGAATGTGGCACTAGTTGTCGCATTTCCCTGCACGGAGGAAACCAAAAATCTTGGGACGGAAGCTTGTATGGCACAAAGTCTCCCTTTGATGTCGAACCCTTCGACTCACTTTTATGTCAGGCTTCTACGGAAGAATGTTGGTTATTGCTCCGTTGCATCTATTACACTGCTTTAGAGATGCTTTTACTTGAACCGATTGTTGAAATGGTCTTTTGGGTAACTTCGTATCGACAGCGCACTGTTTTAACGGGGCAGTGGCAAGGTTCGTCCAGTACTAACTGCGGATTGTTTAAAACTGCATATCGAACCTGTTGTACAGTAGGGATTTTGCCATACATTTTTCTCCGTGTGCGTGGTTAATCTTTGGTCACAATGGAAATGACGTTGAAAATGGCAATATTGCTCTCTTGTGTTCGCAACGTAATTCTTTGAAATTGACACATCAATTAACTTGTCGAGATGAGGATATTTGCACAGGTGCATCGAGCGGTCAATGCATACTTGCAAATTGATTTTGTATTAAAGTATAGTGCAAAGAATGTGAATAGTAGGAACCTTATATAAGTGACTGTCTAATTATTCATTGGAGACAAATCTAAAGGAATAAAGTATGATCTATACAGCTGAGTAAATGCGTTTTGAAATGTACCCAAGTAGGTTTTATTAATAAATGCGTTGTAACATTTATAACACGATGACGACCATGGAGTATGATTATCTTCCTCTCCCTCTGCCTCGACTGAAGCCTCCTCTACCCCTGCCAGAGGCTTTGCTCTTCGGTGGTGGAGATTTTGGCCGGAGGGCTTCGATCCTCTCTGTACATCCAGTCGTAATTTGACCGGTTGTGAAATAACTAGTATACAAGTCTGCATTGAAATTACTATTAGTTAGTTCCTGACCTACCGTAAGCCAACCTGGTCTGATTGTGGTGTCACGACCGAATAGGTGTAACCTAAAAGTCAGAAATTACCGTTAACGTGTATATTGAAACGTTGTAAAAAAGAAATTAAAATTTGTATTACAGCTTACCGTCTTCTGCCCAGGCAGAAATGTTCAATAATATGAAATATTTCAACTGGCTTTTCTATCAATCCGTATTCTGGTTCCTCCGAGATGATTAGATCGATGTCCACATTAGCATGGATGAAATCACCATCGGTAGATCTTCGTACAGTTCCTTTGATGCCCATTAAGCAGTGTTCCTTTGTTCTCTGAAGAACTGCCTTACTGTCCAAATTTTTACTATGACCAGGATTGTTAATGTTGGTGCGAATCCAGCAAATGTCCTCGCATCGTCTGAAGCCCCATTTGCGTAAACAAAAGCGCCCCATGTCTAGTCCATCGCTACTGCCACACCACAGGAATACAAAACTTCTGTTCGCTGCGACTTCTCCAATATCAAGTTCTAGTATCTATTGCAGTCAAATTTTTCAAATCCTTATTACGACTATAATTACTTTGCATTTAAACGGAATTATTAACAAATACATTCAGACCTGATCCCAATTCCAAAGCTGTACGTTCGTCGCTCCACAAGTTCTCTGATATTCCTCAAGTGGTGGTTCAATGAGGATAACGTCGAATTTACTATTAAGGTCTTTTAAGTTGAACGTCAGTAAATCAGTTTTTAAATACATTGGAGGTGTCGCGGTCTCCGAGATTAGATCATCCTTCAACTTAATTAATTCACGCAGTTTGGGATACTCCTCGAATCTATCCGCGAGTCCTACGTCTCTGATAAAATTCTGAGGCCTCTGGCCCGTGTCAATAAAGTGTTGGCAATAATCATTATGTGGATTAGAAGATTGCGTGCCCTATAAGTTTAATTTATCATTATATTTAACTCGTATTAGAGTGCACACCAGTTTCCCACCTTTAAGAACGTCGATGAATCTTTATAAACAATTTCGTCCATCGGAGCAGCATTGCCTTTAACATTTTTAGTCTCAACATCTTGCTTAACGGAAGAGACCTTCCCTTTCTTCTTTTGCACCTCGTCTATATCTGTCCCTAGGATCTGCCGAAGCTCATCGATGCTTGAAACTCCTAACTGCAAATAAAATATTTACAAGCAACGTTGTGCATTAATTGAAATAAATTATAAAGCACACCGAAGTATGGATTCATCACGCATACCGTTTGCGCCAGTAATTTTTTCCGTTTTTGGGACCTCTCACGCAAAGTCTGCAACATTGTGTACTGTTTGCACTGTAAATTATAAACAATCCGTCACTACCTCATCTTCACACGTAAATAATCAAGAAACGGCAAGAAGGTATCAAATACAGAGATGAGTTGGGAGATTGCTCACAGGCAGGATCGTGCAATCGCATCCTGTGCTGCCCTCTGGTTTCGTACGTTAGCTTCACCGTTTTTTGCCCCCAAGGGCGGCGCAACGAATTTCTGATAGGAGCTCGCGCACTCGCGAAGGCGGTACCATTTACCAGTCGCCGTTGGCGGCTCACGTACTCGTGATGGTAATACCATGCGACAGTTGACGGTGGTGGCTTACCTACGCTTACCGACACTGCTCGCTTTTGTTGGTAAGGGAAGAACACTCGTTACGCTCCATTTGACTTTATCTACTTATCTACTACTATTAAGTACATTGTTGCCTCGAAGTCGACGTGATGCGGAGCTTTGGGGCACGCGTCGGTGTAGCGTACGGAACTCTCATACAGCGAATCTGTGTGAGTGCGATCGCTCCTAGAAATCGTCGCGCGTCCCAACCAACTAACAAGGAAACATTCCCAAGTGTCCGCCTCCGATCTTATTGAGTTTCATATATGTTGAAGAACACAAAAATCTAAGAGACACGTGTTTTTTTATATCTGCAATGGTCCACATTTAAGGGGTGAAACTACCCCCCAAAGTTTAGCAAAAAATCGGTTTTTTAAATATTTTTCGTAGGAGCAGTGGAGGGATTTCGACGAAACTTTGCTTAAATGTATTCTGTATAAGGACGGTGACAACACAATATTGTTCGGCAATGTTGCACCCCCTCAAGGGGGTGAACTACCCTTCAGGTGACATTTTTTTGTAATATCCAATAAACAAGCACTCCTACTTAAGTTCCACTTACGCGATGTGATTGCTCGCAAAAAGTTAAGAAATACGTGTTTTTTGCTTTTTGCCAATAAACATTTACACATCGGTTGTAAACAATGAATGTAGTATGAGCATGTATGAGCTCCTATCAGAAATTCGTTGCGCCGCCCTTGGGGGCAAAAAACGGTGAAGCTAACGTACGAAACCAGAGAGCAGCACAGGATGCGATTGCACGATCCTGCCCGTGAGCAATCTCCCAACTCATCTCTGGAATCTCAAGCTTCTTGCGTCAGGCGCAGCGATGTCAAAAATGTAGCCTTGTTCGGCTTAAAATCAATGTTCGCGGGCAAGCGAGTAACCCAAGATTTCATGTAAATTGCAAGAAGAAGAACTCGAAAGCGTGTTTAGTCTCCGGTACTGGGCCCAAATTATTGGGCCGAAATACAACACACGAAGAATAAGAAGAAAGCGTGTTTCTTGTGGACACGAGTCGAGTGCCCGTCATGGAGTCTACCATCGTACACCTTGAAGAGAGTGTGAGTCCCGGTGTACATAACATAACCTCCTTCCTGTCTATTCTAAGACATATTGAATGTTAATTGTTGGCCAAGCGGTATTTATGTATTAACTATCGTTGGATTGTTTTTTAGGTGCAGAAAGCAGACGGTAAACTTGATGTACTAGCTTGGCAAATAGATGCCGTCGAAAAGGAACTTCAAGACTCGGACAAGGTAACGTCTTGTTATACTATCCTTTACGACAGGATTTGTACTTCCTTTGAGTTTGTTCCGTTTCACGAAACAACTGATGTTTCAAGGTCTGGACGAATTGTAGATCTTTGATTTGACGTTAATTCCAATGTCTTCAAATAGGTATCAGTGCTTAAACTGTTGCACTCGGTCACTCAAGTTAAAAAGGAGTATCAAATGCTGCAACAGGATATCTCAGAGGTTCAGCAGTTGCAGAAACAGCTTTCCGATTCATTGAGGGCGCAACTTTCTCAAGTGCAGGGTCATTTTAATATCCTCCGTGAAAAGATTACAGGGCAGAAATCCCCTCCGCTTAAATAAAAGTTGCAGGACTGAGTATGAAATTCATTTCTTCTCTGGTCAGAGACGACTAATTTAATTATTGTTTGTTAAAATTGGTGGTGTGGCATTTCCAAGAAATTCAGTGCAATATCGGTTACACATCTGCATCGATTCATTAGAGAATAACACCAAGCATGTTCTGACACAATTTAAGTATCTTTCTTCACTGATAACTTTACACGCTCTTTACATTGAATGTGTAGAAACATTAAAATAATTAGTGAATCCAGATTCATGGTATAAGGAAAATAAAAAAGTCTTGTCAACGAGTAACCCATGCTGTATAGACGGTGCTGGGGCCAATAGAGTCATCTAATTACATAGATTCACTTTTGAATGCAAAGTTAGAGATCTCGCTATATCGTATTTAGCTAACCGAACCTGTTTAAAATGGCAACTTGCCCTCGAGTATTCGATAAGAAAAATGAAACCACACTTGCAATGTTCCTCTCGACGTCATTCGACGATGAGAATTATTTCCTCGTCAATTAAAAAATTGTTTTAAACATCAGAAGTCATTGAAAATTTTTAAATAAGTCACGACCAATGAGTACTTTGTTAACTGTAGTACAATGTACCTATCGTGCTACTATGTACCAAACGACACACCATGTATACGCACCGTAAACTGTACGTATCTATCAAGATCGTCGATGTATTTGTTTTCATCGTGACCTCTAGAAAATGCAGAAAATGCAAATAGTTAAGCCAATCTCTAAAACATAGCCATGATTAAATCATTGCCGTTTTTAGCTTCCCTTTACAAGTGTTTACAAGTATCGGGTTATTACCCAGAATTAGTGCGTAGCCAACTAAGAATATTGTGAAAGTATACACTGCACCTTTCGACGAGTTTTACACATTTCTAGAGATGTGCGTTTTTTAGGATCGAACTTAACATTGACAAATTGTTAACTCATCGCTGGCTCCTGTCCCCTCAAAAATATGAACGATCCACCAACTAGCAGAGTGGGACACGAGCCATCGATCGGTAGAGTTACCTTTGCGACAAGAGTATTAAAGTATGTGCACTATTACTGTTAATCGATGTGTAATCGGACGATGTCAATTCTTCTGTAAGTGCATTCTTAGTTACCACTCTGTGTCGCGCCGACGTTCGATCGAGCGTTATTTTTGCATGCGTTTACAGATATTCCTTGCGTTCTCGATCGGTCGTCGTTAACTTAATGAGAAAAATGGTCTGGAACACATTCAAAGCGTGCCAAAATTGCGGTCAGTTAGTAGTCCTCTCGGTTCGTCTCCACCGAGTGCGTAGGAACATTTTTTATTAATTTATTTACCGTATACATATCATGGGTTACCTATTTTCTAACCTAAAATAGGAACCGCGTCATCCTTGAGACTATTTCGATTTTCTCTACGCCGAGCGTGAATATTTTTTTTTTTCTTTTCGTAATCATTAATTTATTAATAGTGATACTCAATTACCCCATAATCGAGCCATGCCAAGAAAAAGGACTGCTTTAATTCCGAGTTAGTAAGAGCCGACATAACTACTTCTTAACGGGTACCTTTCTACACGGTTTTGCGGAACCGTCTACCACTCGATTCTACCGCTTATACAATTAACGAATCGATAAAAATAAAGAAAAAAAAAAACAAATGTAAGGGGCATTATAAGCGCGATTATCGCGATTGTAACGAGGAAAAACGGAGGTGCATCTCTTTCGGGGATTGACCCTGTGCCTGGAAATGAACTGTAATCTCCGTACAGAGTAAAGAAATTAATATATACAATAAATAGTCGAGTCGAACTTATTTATATTAACCCTGTTATTTTCTAATCATATTTATTTCATGTTACGACGTTAGACCTAACTGCATACGATTAAGAAATTGCGAAAAAAGAGGTACATGAGCGCCATCCCAGCGGAAGCATCGAGAAAGAAGGGAAGTGCATTTCTTTTGAGTTTGGCCCTGCAGTAGAAAATGAACGTCATAAATTATTATTTATAAAAACGTTAGAAACTAATTATTTATATATTATTTACGAACCAAAAAAATGGATATTATCTCTACCCTGAGGGAACAAAAATTCATCGAACCAAAGAAATATTTCGCTGGTTCGATGCAATTCTTTTCCCAGTGTCTTGTTTATTATGATATTTATTTTCCTTCATTTCAGAGACGGAGGAGAATGCATCGGAGTTGCAACAGTTGCAACTGCATTGCCGCCGAATTTTGCGGACGATTCTAGTTTCTTCGAGCGAAGTCAAGGCAAGTCGGCGGATTATTTATTTATTTTTTTCCGAGACATTTCGCCCGTCCTTGAAACTGCGGAGAAATTCCGGCCATTTTTTTTTCCCCCGAGGGTCGCAGGAAATCAGGTTAAAGTCTGATCGACTTCGAGGACGGGCGAGAGGAAGCGAAAAGGAAAATAGAAGAGCGAAAGATCCCGCGATCACCGGACCGTGTCGCGATTCTACACCTAATTAAACGTCGACGCATCTTGCTGCAGTTTGCTGCACCCAACTGCATAGCTCCTTATCGGACTCGAGAACGAATGCGAAAAAGAGCCCGATCGCTCCTCCGCTTCTTTCTGGCCTACTTCTGAGAGGTTTTTGCGATCGGAGAATTTTTCACTCACGTTAACAAGTTCCGGAAATTTCACCAGGGATAGGTGCAGCTGCAGCTGAGAGTTTCTTATGGGAAAGTGCTGGGGAGGCTGGGTGCATGAGATGTTCAAAGAGCCCCAGGATATTTATGGCATCGAATAAGTGACGATCCAAGACGAGATCTTTGGCGAATAACGGGATTCCCGTTAAGTGGCGTGGTCGGAGACGAGTCGAAAAAGGCGAGGCGGAGTTCATGACCGAAGGTGCCGAGGAATCCTGCGAGGATCTCCTTCCAATTTTTCTGAAAACATTGCGAAATAACTAGACAACGTGGTATAAATAAAAGGCTCTTTGTTCGGGATATGTCATCGCACCGAAACCGTCGGCATGAAACTCACCGTTTATCGCAGGCTGTTGGCCGTTGCAGAGACGTACAAAAGACGGTTGGAGAAGAAGTGCCTGTACGCAACAATATGCAAGAAATTAAATTAATAAATAGTCCTTGTGTTCGAATGAACAAAAGAATAGAAAATCACCTTTTATGGGTCGACGATCGTGATGCCGAAGGGTCCCTGAAGATCTTGATTTTTTATTTCTTGAAGATGTTCAAGAAATTCAGAGTCCCCAATTAAATTTTGGTGCACTTGAATGACAATAATAATAAGGGATAATTATTTACAGACCCATGATCGCCATGCCGAAGAGTCCTGTATGAAGGAGATTTTGCTTCCTATTTTCTGAAAATGTGAATTATCAAACAGCCGATGCAATTTAATTTAAAGTAGAAACGCATGCTTACAGAAAGTGCGTACGGATCGGACCGCGATGCGGTCCGGGGCTCTACGCCGAAATTCCGAAACCTCGGCACCGTGTCCAGTTAAATCAGAGGTTAATAAAATGACCCATCACTTACCCAGGTGACACCCGAGGGTTTTCGTTAGGCGAGGCACGCCGTGGAACAAATCAATCGTGCCGGTGAAAGTTGCCCGACGTGCAGCGCTCGTCGCGCCATCTTGCGAGCTTACTCCGCATCCCCGTTCCCGAAGTTGCATCCACCTCGCGTCCCCAAAAAAAAAACCGTTAATAAACCTGCAACGAAAGTCTGCCACTACTCATTGATATACATAAACGCGTACATACAATTAAGCGTTACCTGTATCAAGATGTACTAAATATAAACTGGAATTAGATTGAAAGTCTACAACAGAAGATGAAAAGTAGCTTCTCGTTATGATTTAAGATAAAAAATAGAAAAATGGCGTTTTACCCATGAATTCCCTATTTCGAGTGAGTTCCATTGAAATAGTTACCCAGAGCCGTCCAATCATGTACTCTGAGAAAGAAAAAGAAATGCCTCGTTAATACAGATATGAATTCCAATAAATAGGACGCAACATTCCCTTCGGGATTACGATGTTTTTTTTTTCCTTTCCGTATTTTCGGTATGTTACTTTATATTTTCCGTCAAATCTGAACCGATTTCGATGATTCTTCTATTTCATCGAACGAGTACACGAGCGACCGATTGAAACCACAGGATCTAACTCGAGATCGGAGTCATATCCGGCGTTTTCTATTTTCCACGTTTGCGGCGAGATCCCGGAAACTCGGACGCGGGCAACGTAGCCCTGCGGGGTGGGCTCGGTAAAAAAGAACGGCGAGTAATGGCGCGACAAGAGAGACCGGCGAGAGTCGCTGGTTGGTCGCGAACTGGTTCCGATGACCCACTCCTACGCGGCTCGGGTGTCGACCGCGAGAGCCGCTCAGTGTCGGCCGACCGGTCCCACCGTGCGCCGGGAATATCCGCGTCCGTCGGTCCACCGTCCAGGTCGCCGGGGCAAGGAAGTTTCCGAAAATTGCCGGTCGATACTCCCCAACCCGGTGAGTCAATCCTCTTCCTCGGGGTCTGGAAAAAAAAGTTTTAATCGGTGAGAGATAGCCGTATCAAGGAACTCGGTAGAGTTTCGAGCCAAATACATTTTTGAGCGAGAACTCGTAGCGTTGAGTGATGCGAGAAATACGCCCTGCGCGTTGAGTTAGAGCGAGATGCCACAGAGTTATATACAGTAAGAATCGAGATTTCAGGAGTGGGTGTAAGTAATTAACAGGGTAAAGTACTCCAAGCGATCCTATGACGCGTACAATGGCGGGCATGAATGCCTCCCCTGCAAATACGGCATCGCCTGTGCAGGGTGGGAGGGCATTGATGTCTCCCAGTGTATCTAGCCATACAATTTTACCTCTTAGTCCTTCGGGTCGCCGGGGCCAGGAAGTTCCCGAAAATTGCCGGTCGATACTCCCCAACCCGGTGAGTCAATCCTCTTCCTCGGGGTCTGGAAAAAAAGGTTTAATCGGTGAGAGGTAACCGTATCAAGGAACTCGGTAGAGTTTCGAGCCAAATACATTTTTGAGCGAGAAAAGCGTAGCGTTGAGTTCGAGCGAGACGCTACAGAGTTATATACAGTAAGGATCGAGATCTCAGGAGTGGGTATAAGTAATTAACAGGGTGAAGTACTCCAAGCAATCCTATGACGTGTACTTAGCCATACAATTAGTGATCACCTTTATTAACCCCTTGCGCTACAATGGCGAGATACTCCTTCAGCTAGAATGGTTCCAAAATTAAATCGAAGCGTAAGGGGTTAATGTAAAAGCTCCAATTAATGTTAGTTTTTTAATTTTCTTAAGATATAACATTGAGGTTTTTATGATAAGATGATATTGAATCATCGATGGATTGCAAAGTATCGAGGTTTCATTGTGATGGTATCAGGACACGTCTACCTCGAAGTGATCAGGATCAAAGATGAAATTAGAGGAAGAATCCGAATGAAAACTGTAATAAGTGGAAGAAGTGCTGTGGGGGAATTAAACGGTTCTTGTGATGGAGTCGTATACCCTGAAGAGCTCGGAGTCCAGGATATGAAATTAAGAAACGAATAAAAAAGACAAGGTTGATAAGTGGAAGTGATGTAGAAATAATAAAAAATTCAAATTCAGGATTCAGGGAAAATGGAGGCAATAAATAATTTGCGTACCACTTCCCGGACGTTCTCCGTGGTTTATGACTCTTCGAGAACAGAGAGAGTGCTTAAACGAACTCGAGCAAAATGACGAGCGAGTGTGCCGCGTTGACGAAAGAGAATTCTCGCAAGTTACGAGGGTTATATCACGTCAGGGTCTTTTTTCCGCTTTTTGCGGGAGTTGCGCCTACGTTAAGCCTTTCTCTTCGACGTAAAATTCGAGCTGGGACTGTCGGTCAAGGCAACGAGAGCGCCTTTCTTCTGGGTGCTGTTATTCGTTTCCGCCTTCGTGGAGCCGGTGATTTCAATGCCTGGGATTTAATTTGACCGGAATCGGTAATGATCCGAGGTCGCTGAATTCGATCTACCCACCTCGACAGGCGTTAATTATCGTTCAGGGATTTTTTTGTCGCTTTTACGGAAAGTGGATCTACATTACGAATTTTTTTTTCGGCACGAAATTCGAGCTAGTCTTATCAGAGCGAGTGATTTCAATGCCTCCATCTTTGTAGAGCCAGTGATTTCAGTGCCTCGGAATTAATTTCACCGAAATTAACGACCTCCAGTTGGTCCCATAAAAAGGAGAGTAAACATTAACACGAGAAAAGTCTTATTAATTTTGTTGATACCTTTCTTCTAGGTGCGCGTACTCGTTCTCACCATCTTGGAGTCGCTCGAATTCTCGCGGTGATTTCAATGCCTCGGAATTAATTCGACCGGTTCCGGAATTATCACCGACCTGCGGTCATTGAATTCGGTTTAGTCACCTCAGGAGGCATTAGTCATGGAGGAAGGACTCCCGGGTTCGTGGAACGCAATTTTACGCAAAAAGGAGAATCGAAATTGACTCGTGAAGGGTCTTGACAATTTTTGTGAAGCCTCTTCTGGATGCGCTTACTCACGTCCGCCATTTTGGAGTCGCTCGATTTTTCGCGGTGATTTCAATGCCTCGGAATGAATTCGACCTGCGGTCGTTCGCAATTTCGCGCAAAAAGGAAAGTTAAAATTGGCCAGTCAGGAAAGTCTCGACAATTTTGTCGAGCGATTTTGTAGAATCATAGAAACGCGGCGTTCAGACACGCTGAAAACCGCCGGAGCGTAGAAACGCGGCCGCAGCCTTGGCCATCGCAAAGTCTATTCAAAGGCTCCTCCTTTAACAATACGCATAAAAAACTAATCTATACGCTCCCAAGCAGGAAAACAATTCACGGTCATGTAACAAATAATACAAAGTTTCGCTAAAATCAGCGAAGGTGAATCGCTCGAAGATCGGCCGGCAAAATATTTTGGTAGGAACGATTTCGCAGTACGGACGACTGAAAGAAATTATTCCCTTCAGTAATAATTAATAATTAAGGCAACTCAAATTCGCGGTTACAGTACTCATTCCTAGTAACGATAAACCGCTTGGTCGAGTTAAACGTCGAAATAGATTGAAAAAAAAATTAATAATCGAGTTGAATTTTCTTTCGCAATCTTGATGCAAATTTACTGAATAAATAAGGAAAATTGTTTTTTCATTGGAAATGTTTTTACCGCTAAGGAGATTATTACTGCCCGAGGAGTATTTTATCCTTTACGAGGGCGAAAACACCATTTTCTCCGGGCTGTCCGCGATTATTAATCGCAATCGGTCCTAGAATTAATGACGATTTCTCTTCGAGGTCTCTAGGAAGGCGGAAACGAGAAATCGGAATTCCATCCCCGGGAAGCCGGCGTGTCCTCGTTTGCAAAAGAATCGGCGACGCAAGCGACCGCATCGAGATCGATTCCCGAATCGGTCGCGGAATGGCGAACCCGGTCGCGGAAGAGGTCCGCGACTCTTCGCAATCGGGAAATCCGAAAATAGGCAAATCGGCGCTTTCGTCACTTAGCGTAGAAAGCTCGAACGGGGGAGGAACGTCGGTTTCCTCGGGGCTTGCATAAGCATCCGACTCGGCTGCAGAGTGGGTCCGATCGATTCCACGGCTTTCTAATCGGTTCCTTCCGACTCGAATCGGTTTCCCCGGTGGAGGTGTCTTGTTGAAGCAGGTCCCCCATCGGTGTATGAATTTCTGTCGAGGCGCAGATGACGAAAGCTCGCTGGCCGAGATGTCTTCTAGGTGACAAAAGATCGCAGTTCGAGGTGTTTTCAGGATATTAAAAATCCGCAGGTCGAGGCATCTTCAGGATATCAAAAGTTCCCAGGTCGAGGCATCTTCAGGATATCAAAAGTTCCCAGCTCGAGTTGTCTTCGAAGCTCCGAAAACTCGCAAGTCAAGGCACTTCGGAAATACCGAAACCCCGTAGATCGGGATCATCTCCAAAATATCGCAAGCTCGCAGGTGAAGATTCTTCAAGGAACCCGAAAGCTCTTAGGTCGAGGCGTCACCAAGGTGCCGCAACTTCCGGCATGAATTATTCACTCAGCCGCGTGGCTCCGTTTTTGGAGAACAATACCTCGGGTTTCCCTCGAGTCTTCTTCGCTTCTTCGACCTGGTTTCTTCCCTTCCCCTCGTGTTCCTGTTCTTGGACTTCGGCGACGCCTCTTCAGGGTCAAAGGATCCTCCCTAAAAAGCCTTTTGCTTCCAGATGGCCCTCACCACCTGGCTGGGGGCAGTAGCCCTAGGCGTCCTCTTCCTCCCCGAAGCCATCGGCCATGGTAGACTCATCGAGCCTCCCTCCAGGGCGTCCATGTGGAGGTACGGCTTCGACACTCCCCACGACTACAACGACAACGAGCTCTACTGTGGCGGCTTCACCAGACAGTGGCAGAGGAACTCCGGAAAATGCGGCATCTGCGGAGACCCATACGACACGCCTACGGTGAGCTCTGCCATCCTTTCCCTATAAAAGAAATCACTTTTCTATTACAGAGCACGAAAAGAGCAAGATGGGTAAAAAGCTGTGGTACAAACCACGAAGTAGTATAAGAAGATACAACGCCATGTCTCGAAATGGTCCCCACTTCAAGGGTCCAAGATCTTCAGATTTTTTTTCGACCTAGGGCCAAGAGCGCCTCCTAGATGAAATTTTGCAATTATTAATTATCGTCCTGTAGTCTTTATCGCGTTGAAAACATTACATCCTGTACACCCTCCGCGTATTATCGTTTCGCTTTGCATATCCTAATCCCAGAATTAAAGGCATTTTAAATAATTTAAGTCGGTAAGGAACATGATCTTGGCGTTCCCTCATTTTCCGCAATTGGCGCTGGCATCGTCGGATCAGCAAAAATCAGAGATCCGGGGTCCCGATTCAGAGGTCGCTTCCCGTGTAACCGACGATTGGCGTTCTTCTTATACTACTTCCCGGTCAGAGGGAACAAAGGCCAATGAATCAAGAGGATGGTACGATCCTTCCCGATGACTAATCCTGTACCCTATTTTTCAGCCGAGGCCTCACGAGTCCGGGGGGAAGTTCGGGAACGGCGTGATCGTCCGCAGGTACCGAACAGGGGCGACGATCCCGGTCAAGGTGGAGCTAACCGCCAACCACCACGGCTTCTTCGAGTTCCGGGTCTGCCCGATGACTGCCCAGGGTCTGGAGGTGACTCAGGAGTGCCTGGACGAGTACCTCCTGCAAGGCGAAAACGGCACTGCCAGGTATTACCCGGGTCCCGGTAACCGGGTCTTCGAGGGGTACTACAAACTCCCGGAGGACCTGACCTGCGTCCAGTGCGTATTCCAGTGGAGGTACACCGCCGCCAACAACTGGGGGGACTGCGGAAACGGCACAGGTATTGATCACTCTTCGATTATCCTCCGATCGCCTTCGACGGGCCTCGTACCGGCTCGAATGAGGTCGAGAGGTCAGCAAGAATTGGGTCCTCCCCTCCTCTTTTTTCCTATGGGAACCTGAGGGGATAATTCGGGACTGCTCCCCATTCCTCCACTTGTAATACAGGTTTCTCGAGGACGAAGTCGTCGGCGTCTTCCTTTCGATCCGTACCTGGAAGGTGAGCAAAGGAGTGAGTGTTTTTTCAAGGGTACTCTTGAAGAAACAATCGACGCGAGCAAACCTTTTGTCTTTTCCATTCAATGAAAAATCTGAAAAAAAAAAAGAAATAATAATTAGCTGGTTATCCGCGACTTCGTCCGTTTGAGAAATTAAATCTCCGCTTTACCCCCCACCCCCAGGAGGGAATTAAAAAAGCAAAATACGGGTTTATTCATTTGCAATTAAGAGCTTGCATTCCGATTGTCCCTCCTCTAAGTTTTACGCCTGTTGGAATATAGGGATTTATAATAAAAAAAGGAGAGCCCCCTTAAGGTGATGTAAAAGTGCCATCGAAGAGGTCTAGTTTATGAAACTATTCTTCAAACTGGGTCTACCGAATTGTTTCAAGCTTTACATCTTAAATGTGGAAGCTATAAAGAACCCCCATAAAATAGAAATTTTTTTGTTTAATTTCTACATTATTAAATTGTGTATAAAAACTGAAATTTCATGGGTGTCATGACCTGCCTTACAGTCTCCATGTTCACGTTGTAAAATTTGAAACGATTCGGTACACCCACTTCAGAGAAAAGTTTCTTGAACGATTTACCCCTCAGAAGCCACTTTCACATCCCCTTAAGGGTGGAGTTTCGAAAAATCTGTCTGGACGATGACGAGTCAGTCATCGAGGGTGATGATTTTTAAATACAGACTTGCAAATGAAAGAGAAAAAAAAAAGATTTGCCGTTAATTCCCAGGTGCCGTGGGATGCGGTCCCCAGGAGGAGTTCCGAGGGTGCGCCGACATCGCGATCGGCGACGAAGAGGCCACCCTGCCGCCGAGGACGTCCAAGCCGGAGACCTCGACCTCGGAGACGGCTCCGGGTCTTCCCGACGAGAGGGAGTCCGGGCCCATCTGGCTTTACGGTCTCGTTATTACCGGTACGTGTCTCTTGGTTGCCTTCGCTGCCTCGGCACTGCTTTACACGTACTACTACCACTCGGACCGGGCCAAGAAGTGGCTCATGGCGAAGAAGCTCTTCGCCTCGAAGATGCCCCCGGTTGCCCCGCCGAGGCACAAGCGACATGGCACGGCCGCTGCACGGTTACAGGTGTAACGTAGAATTCCAGCTCGACGATTGTATATTGCTGTAGCGTAGATTCCTGCATCGAGAAATGGATTCATTTAACCAAAGAAATGTTTCATTAATTCGGATAATAATTATTAATAATATGAAATAGTTCCTTTGGTTGAATGGACATTTTTCCTTTACACGGTGTGGTTGGCAATATGTCCGAGGTCGCGTTACAGGTGTAACGTAGAATTTCACCTCGACGAATCGCTGTGTACAGCTGTTACGTGGATTCCTGGTCGGTGAAAAGACGCGTCCTAGGTCCAGGTCGGCGATCCTTGCGAGAAGGTCACAGCTTCTCCAGAGAGAAAGTAACACGCGAATATAATTAGTATCTCGAGAAGGTCATCGTCGGGATACGAATTCCGGTTTAAATGAACGCCTTTCCTATAATCACGGCGGAGTTAATTTCAAGAAAACGCCCGCACGTCCACCAGGGTGCCTCGATCGGCGTCCAGGGGACGATTTAATACTAAACGGGTACCAAATGGCGCAGCAAATCGGATCGCATGGGAAAGTCGCGAGCCTTAACTAAACGCCGATAATTATTGGCTTGGCTAAAAAATCCTTTTTTTTTTTTTTTTTTAATAATCATTGTCTAGAATTTGACATAAACTCGAAGAGGTCGTAGGAATACGTAATTTTTTCTGGACGGTGACATCGACGACGATGAAATTAAACGGCATGTCGATGTCGCGGGATTTTTCTTTAGCCAGGCCGGTACTTCATTCCGTAGGGCGTACGCTCATCCTGTATATACGAAGACTGTACTCTCATTAAAGGTATTTATTTTATAGAACTGGTACTTTCACTGTACTCGTCGTCGACCTGTCACGCGCCTTGGGCAACTATAAGTTACAACGATAGTTCAGCGAGACGAGGGTCGTTTAATGACCAGGGCGCATAGCGAATGGTTCATTGCCTCTTGTTCAGGAGCATCTTCCGGAAGTCCTGATTGCTCAGAGCAGGCTTCGCGACGACGGAGTCCGAGGTCCCCGCGTTACCGTTCGCGGAGACGGTCTTAACGCTGCGAGGAACCAGAGACAAGAGGGTCTTCGGCAACCCGGAGACCGTCCTGCTCACCGAGGATCCGCCTAGAGACTTGATTCTCGTCTCTTCGAGTCCCTTCTTCCGGTCCGGCGGATGACTAATGGCCACGCTGATCACTTTGTCCTTGACTTTAGTCCCATCTGTGGCCAGCAGCGCCTTTTTGGCGTCGACTTCGTCCTGGAACTCGACGTACGCCAGTCCCTTGGAATGTCCGTTGCGATAGGTCACTATCCGCACGTCCTTTAGGGTCCCATGAGATCCGAAGAGCTCCTCCAGGTCCTCCTTCGTGGTCGACACCGGGAGACCTGAAAAGAGGCAGCGATGAGTGTAAAAGAGGTTCATCAAAACCGACATCTTCGGGTATTTTCTTTCTCTTTTTAGGGTGATATGAAAAGGTTATTCAATATACGTAAGACGTCAAAACATTTATAAAACTTTTCTCCAAATCGGATGAAAAATTAAATTTCACAAGCACCATGTTCTTTATTAGGGCCTTCGTAATCATCTGCTGAAGTTTCAAATGATTCGGTGCACCCAGTTTGGAGAAAAGTTTTATAAATATTATTACGTTTTATACATATAGAAAGGTCATTTCGTAACACCTTAATGACACGATATACCTTTGACGAAGAGCTTGTTCTTCTCCAGGGAACTCCTGTACTTGAAGGCCGACCCTCTGGAACTCTTGTTCGGATCGCATCTAGACACGAACATTGGTCGGTTGTTCACGTTTGTTCGGTCTAGCTGCAATGCTCGCTCGACGGCTTCCTGGGAAATTGAGGTTAACTTAGGTTAGGTTGAATTCAAGGATTGGGGGTTTTATTTCATGTTGGCATGCGGGTACTTACTGGACTGGTTAATTGCACGTAGCAGAAGCCCTTGCTACGTCCTTTGTAGTCGCGAATCATTTTGAACATTGTGATCGGTCCAGCCGGTGCCAAAGCTGCCTTGACGTCCTCTTCCGTAGCTGAGTAATCCAGGTTGCTGATAAAGACGGCGATTTTGTCGTCGACATCCGGGGTGCTCTCTTCGTCTGTTTGTTCCCGTTCTGGCGCCTTGTACCCTGGAGGAGGTTCGACCTTCGTGTCATCCTCTTCAGCATCCTCTTCAATACTTTGAGGTGCCCCTTTCTTCTCGCTGCGTTTCACACTTTCCTGCGACTTTAATTTAACGTTCGCACCTTCCTTGAACAACTTCTTCGGGGAGCCACCCAAGTTCTTCCACCTGCCTCCGTCTTCTATTTTTCGCTTGGCCTTTCGATTGGAGATGCCGGAGCAAGTCGTCTCAAATTTTGGAGATGCGTTCTGCGCCTTCTGCCTCTCTTCCGCGAGTTTGTCCATCCTCTCCTTGATCTTCGCCTCGCAGAACTCCATTTGCTCCAGGGTGCCTTCGTCACGTTCAAAGTTTAACCAAGCAGTGGCAATGCTCTCTGGCCAGTCTTTGACGGATGTCAAGGCTTTCTGGTAAAGCTTTCGGAGATGCTTTGTGAACCCGTAACTCCTGTAGAGGAGTAGTGTATTAATTTCAACTGATCGCTTGTGAAATACATTATATTACTTGAAGTAACTTTATAGTACCTCTCAAGCCGAATGTACTCCAGCCAGCTGGCAGCTGTCGAAGAGTGGCCCTGCGATAATATATCAGCCCACAATTTACGAGCCTTCTCTATGTCGTCCGCGTGAATCGCTTCGGTCCTCGCCCAATATTGTAAAATTACGCAACTGGGATCTCCTTCAAGGCCGAAGTTGTTCGCCAAGTGTTCGCAGGCCTTGTTGAAGGTACTGCTTACGATCTTCAACTGCTTGTCCTCCTCTTCAGAGTCCCGGTTAATTCCACGACGCAAATACTCCAGGTAAGTGAGCCAGACGTCACGATACTCCTCCGCAGTTGGGAACCCAGCTGCCAGGGCATTTTCCAGGATGCTCTGCACTTCCGACAGTGGTTTCTTCCACCTCTCAAAGGATCTGATCCACTTTTGCCAAATCTTGGCACACCATGGCACATTTCTTACTGCACGTTCATACACTGGCAACAATACCGATTCCATTTTGATGTTATCTTCTAAATAATTGATGTAATCCAACCATAGAGATGCTTCTAAGCTAATTTCAGATACAGCACGCTCGTACAACACGGTGATGCGTCCTGGGTCACCGTTCTGCTTTTCATGCAGTAGATATCCTTTGAAAGCATCCAATAATTCAGCTTCACCTTGGGCTGAAAGAAGCTTCTCTTCGAAAGGCAAGCGGACGGTACATTTTGCAATCGCACGAGTGTATCCACTGTTCAGGGTACTATCGTCAATGTTCGATTTCGCTCCCTCGCTGGCTCGCCAAGCCACATACTCTTCGTGAGCTTTTTCCATGTCGAGCAGGGGACATGCCAGCTGACGACGGAAGAGGCTCCCAATACGATCGAGTTGTTCAATTCTTTCAGCCTTGTTTGAAACGTCAACCTGAACACACAAAAATTAATTATTAATGAAATTGAAATGAACCGGCATTAAAATTAGCATTGCCTTTAACACGTTGAGTGCCATGTCAGTCACCGGTGACTGACACTGAACTTTCCGTTCAGGCCGCATCAGTCATCGGTGACTGACAACTGAACCGTCCGCAGAGCGCGTGGCCTGAACGGGAAGTCGTCAAAAACCGCGTGGCACTCAATGTGTTACTTTCAGAGTAATTTTTTAATACAACTACCATTGCCAGCAAGGCTGTTTCAAACTCTCGGAAAGCTTCCCATATGATAGCGCCTTTGGTGAAATGCAAGCCCACAGAGGTAAGAGCGCGCTCGAACAATTGGCGCACGTCTTTTACCGCGTCCTTCTCACTGCCCATATTACCAATACTGAACTGCAAGTATTCCAACCAAATATCAATTGCTAGAAACAAAATATAAATACATTAATAAATTAATAAAATTTAGCGACGTAGTTTATTTCTATGGGAAAGTTAATGCAAACATACAAAGGTAATCTTTAACGGCTCGTTCGCAAAGTTGCACGACAGCAGCCTTTTGCTCGGGTGTCGTTGCTAGTTTAATTTCGTCTTGCAGCCAGGATAGCCACAGGTCGGGACTCAAGGGATACTTAGAGCTCATATTTTCCCTTGCAGCTCGCAATCGTTCCAGTTCACCCATTCGTTGCAGCTTAGCAATGAGGGCTACGTGACTGGCGTAATTATAAGGATCTTCTACGAGAGACGTCTCCAGCAACGCAACCTCTGTCTCGTCCGCGTTATCCTCATCGTCGTCGCTGTCCGATGGCTCGCTTTCAACCTTATTACTGGTTTCCTCTTCGTTTTGCTCGCTCTCCATAGGCTCGTCCTGTTCCTCGAGATCTCGGGAATCTCCATTCTCCTCGTTTTCGCCGTTTTCTTCTTCCTTCTCGATCTCATCTTCCGCGGGACTGTCTACTTCCATTTCTAGTACCTCTTCCGAGTACTCGTCAGAAACGTAGATTCTTCAATACGTATTTACTTGCCCGGCACAAAATGCCCTACAAAACGTAAACATTCCATTAACATTTGAAGGTTATGTCTGCTAACGACCTGTTTACGCCGCGCTTCATTTATCGCCGTTAAGACGGGACCGCATGTGGGCGACATAACCTCGCGACTGCAATGTGCATATAGCAACAGCGCATTTCTGAACACTACTTAAATTGAACCTGATACATTTTTGACGGATCTATAAATGTATCAAGTTCTCTCAATAAAGCGCTAGTTTTTACTCAAATTAACAAAATTTTACCAACTCCTCTAAAAAATTGACTCGTTCCGATTCGAATTCCTTCAAGTGCGCCATTTTTAAAATCCACTCAGTCACCTATGGGGAACTTAAGACTACCATTTAAATAAAAAATACTGAAATTTTTCCATTTGTAGACGGGAACCAAAATTGAAGTGATGTCCCTCTTGTTCTTATATGTATACTCAAAAGCCTGAATTTTTGAAAATTTAATCTTGTATACGATTAAAATAGTTAAAAGCCAGCATATCTGTGCAAGGATTTTTCTTTCGAACTAGTGAAGAGTATTTCTTTCCAGGCTCCGAGGGGAAGACCAGTAAAAAGAAGAAGAAGTACCACTCCACGAAAGAAAAGAAATCCTCTTCGGGGCTCTGCGGGCCACATATGAGCAAGAAGCTCAAAAGATTTCAGGTACATACCACCAAAATTCTCGCGTGCAAAGTGTATCTCTTCGTCTCCTTTTTGCAGTCCCTGCGTAAATACTGTCGCGAAAAAGCGAAGTATTATCGATGGGGTCCTTAACTGCCCACAGGATTCGCACCACTCGACGCACTCTCCGGAACGATCAGGTGAGTCGAGTCGAATGCTTCTTAAACACTAAATATTTAATTCAAGTTATTTACAAGCCTGGTCTAACTATAATTGATCGAGCAGTTGAAACAAATCCATGCATAACAGCAATAACAGCCATAAGAGTAGGTAAATTCAAAACGGTCATTTTCTTCCCCGAATGTCAATCTTCAAAGTAAAATTAAATCCTCGATCGATGTAGAAGGTTAACCTTTGTCACAACAATGCGATCCAAATCAAGGTTCGCTCTCTTCCATAGAAGTTCCTTCGTTCTCCTTCCAAAGGCATGAATAGAAGTTCCATGTTTCCAAAATAAGGAGGGGAGAGACTAGACACATTGAAGTCGAATGTAAACGTATGCACAGAGAAGGAAGATGAAAAACTCGAGACGTAACATTCCCTTCATCAGTCTGTTGTATATGTGTATATCCGCGCCTATTCGTGGGTAATTTCTTCCTATTAAACGCAGATTAATTATAAGTCCCGCCATTTAAACGGCGTCAAAGTTTAGAACGACAGCGATCTCTTCCTTTCCTGGATAGGAACACTCCGAAGAGGGCAGATGAGTACCTTTTATGAATTTCTGACTCGGGCTCGCGAAAGGGACAAAAGATAGACACGATTCACTGGACACTTTGTATAGAAGAAAAAAAAAATTAAAAGATAAGAAATTCGTACACCATTCAAGCTTGCGAAGGAGAGGACGCGAGTGAATGGTGCCCTCTTCAGGGTCTCGGAATGTCTCGCGCGATTCTTGGTTTCCTTTGTTTGGGGCAGTTCCTGATCTCGACAAGCCTCTGCCAGTCACCGTGTCCGAACTTCTTCCGCTACCTTCGAGACGATAAAACAAGAGAGATGGTGGGTCGGGTCGAGATCCCAGCCGCTCCGAGAGGCGTTCCTCTGCACCTCAGGGTCAGCCTCAGCATCCCTACGGTCCTGCCCACGGTGAGTTTTGGACACCTCTTCTTTATCTTTCAATCGCTCTGATCAATGAATGAATTTAATTCATCAACAAGATGATAATGAATTACTTTTGCTTCTAGAAATACGTCGGCCGCCTGCAGCTGGAGCAGACGAAAGAGGAGGCGATCGGAATGGTGAACAAAGGCAAGCCGCTGGTCTACATAATTCATTTTCCTCTCCGTCAGCCGATTCCTCTGATCACGAGGATCCTCTTCAATCGACGTCAATACTGCATCGGTCCTCGAGGTAACGCAATAAGCGAAGGGCGAGTATCCTAGAAGAATGGAGCACGGGGTAGACGAGGATAGATTGAAGATGCTAAGAGTTAGGACGCAAACCCTTGTTCCAGCCATGGGTCCATTCGTCACATCCATTGTCCTGGAGCATACGTTGTTCCCTCCGGAGGTGATCCACCTCTCGGAAGGTCCTCTGAAGCCGGGGTCCTGGGGAGACTATTTTGGAGGTCATCCGGAAGCTGTGAATACTGAAGTCGAGACGACCTCGCTGGAGCCTCTTCCTTCAAGGGTGGAATCTCTCCCTTCAAGCCTGGAACCTAAACCGATGCCAATGGAACCAAGTTCAATGCCGAATTCGATGTTAAAACCAGAACCTGGTGCGATGTTGAATCCAAGACCGCAACTGGAAACTTCGCCCTTCTTTTACCCAGAGATTGATGAAACCTGCGGCCGACCTCGAAGTGACAACGTCAACCTCCTGATAGCGAAGGGCGAAAGGACTCGACCTGGTCAATGGCCCTGGCTCGTCGGCATCTTCTTCGTAAAGCTGAAATTCGAGTTCCAGTGCGCGGGGAGTCTGATCTCAAACAGGCACGTGCTGACTGGTAAGCAGTCTCTTCAGCTAATATTTCAAGCTCTTCGTGAAGTGGTTCACTAACGCTCACGCCGTGGTAGAAAACACTTTTTCTCATAAAATCACCAGAACTGGCCGGTTCCTCGATGGAACCTTATAGCCTCCGTATTCACATTGTCAAGTTTGAAACGATTCGCTACACCCAGTTTGGCGAAAAGTATCATAAACGAGACTTCTTTGGCGCCATCGCCTTAAATAAACAGAATGAAACAAGCTTGTAAATCATTTTTCTCAGCTGCCCACTGCTTCAAGCTGCCGGAAAACGAGGACGTGCCGGTGAGTTCGTTGCTGGTCTCCATAGGTCGACATCGTCTAGACGACTGGAAGGAGAGCGATTCCGTCAGCGTGGAAGTGGAGGATCTCAGGATGCACCCAGAGTACGGACATCGTTTCAGCGGGTCCTCCGACATCGCGGTGCTGGTCCTCCGGGAGAACGTCACCTTCGGCAGGACGATACAGCCGGTGTGCCTGTGGTCAGGGTCCAGGAACCTGGACAATGTCGTCGGGGAGTTCGGCTACGTGGTGGGCTGGGGCAGGGACGAGGAAGGCCACGCCAACGTGGCCGAACCCAGGATGATCAAAGTGCCCATAGTCTCTCAGGTCGGAGCTGCACCTGTTCCTGGTTTCTAGTTCCCAATCCAAATAATTGGCGACCTGGGGGTGATGCATAAAGAAAAGACATCACCTTAACGAATTTATCTTCCACCAGGAGGACTGTCTTCGCAGCAACCCGGACTTCGTCTCGGCGACCTCTGACCGCACCTTCTGCGCAGGGATGAGGGATGGAAGTGGACCTTGTAACGGAGACAGCGGCAGCGGCCTCGTCCTCAGGAACGACCTCACGGGGGCCTTCTACCTCAGGGGGATCGTCTCCTTGTCGCTCCTCGACAAGAAGACGATGTCCTGCGACCTCTCGCAGTACATCGTCTACACGGATGTCGCCAAGTACCTCGACTGGATTCGCAAAGAAATCGAGACCTGAGGTGGCTACCGACGATAAATCGTGGCGATTTCTGATCTGCGCAGTTCAATCAAATTTTACAGCGTCCACGCGACATCCAGACGTCTATAGTACATACTATAGTACTCACGCGACATCCAAACGTCAGATAAAAATGTACAGATTTATCGGAACAGTTTATCGTTGCGTTTGTGGCCACCTCAAGAAGGAGCGACGACTTCCGCGAATTGATCGAATGGAATGATTCGAGTGGGCAGGGAAAATTCGGACGTGGACCTTATCAGGTATTTGCAATGTTACCGAAGACAACGAAGATACGGTGACTGTGTTCGGATTACAAAAAAGGAAAAAGAAAACTGTTACCTTTAACGTGGCGAATGGCGGAGAGGAATGTGAGACGTTGAACTCGTGTAAATATGTGCGGCTTTCGGGTCTTAAGTAGGACAATGTAAGACAATCGAAACGCCTCGGTCTCTATCGGGTCCGAAAAAGTGAAATATCGACATTTAGATTGTAATTCCGTAGTTTAGTTCACTTGACACCTAGAGATAAATTAGTAAATCCGGGATTTCACGTCAAAAGACGACGAACGACAGATCTGGATTAGTGTCGACTCGTAAGCGATAAGCAACGGTGAACGGATAACTGCGCAGCCTAGAAATAAATAAAATATCCAGACTCCCCTTATCAACATCTCTGTACTTACTACAAGTGCCCTAGACGTGGGATTGTAATAGAATAAAATCTGAATCGAAGGGCAGTGGGTTAGTCGCTCGGACGCCAGTAGGTATCGGTATCCTTGCGGTATCGCAAAATTATATTCCTTTATTGTCCCGTTCAAGATAGTTAAGCGGAAATGTTTTTCAATCGTCTGTAAAATAACTCACCGAGGTCCCCCATTGGTCGGCTTTTAAAGTGTCTCTGAATTTCAAACGACATTCGACCCCCTCACACTTGACCCGAGTCGAGTTGGAAGCTCTGTCGAGTGACGGCCCCAAAAACGACCTCGGCACTGAACACTTCTGCAGATAAATTAATACGACACGGTTATAAATAGTCCATACTTTAAGTTATTATGAAAGGGTAATTCTATATACTAAAACCAATATCACATTTTTTTATGAAAAATAAAATTTCACGAGCATCGCGTTCTTCCTTAGGCCCTCCATAATTATGTGTTCAAGTTTCAATTCATTCGGTGAACCCAGTTTGGAGTAAAAAATTTTATATATACACAATGACCCTTTCATACTGTCTTAGAATGTCAATAAACATCGACATTAATTAGTTAATAAAAATAAATCAATTCGAAGTGTCGGGGAGGAACTCACTGATATTAGCACGGAGAACATCGGACAGCAGGTGAACGTCGTTCTCGTGGGTGATGATGATGTACGTAAGCTTGTTACCGTTCATCTCTTGTATCTGCGAGAGGGACCTCCGCGTCCTCTCCATGGTACCTCCAGCACTCTCGATAATTTCCGCCATCACCGAGGGAGACGGCACGACGCTCGGCGTAACGTAGAACGTCCTGCCCTGTTCGACGAAGGAGAAGTAACGAGTCTCTTTACGTCGACATCGGGACATCAAGGTGTTGCAGCGACCTTAAAGAAGGAACCCATCGTTACCTTAAGTACCGTCCCCCGGTTAGGACTCGCCAGAGCCTTCTCGATATTGCAATTGAAGTTCTTCTCGAAATCGGCGTCACCGAGGACGTAGGACGCCTCGTCGAGGAAGGTATTCTCCGCGGAGCAGTCGATCAGCCATTGCAGCTTGACGATGTACTTGCAGCGGGACAAACAGCACAGCAACTTGACCGTCCTGAGAGGACCAGGCATCACGAGATGCGTGGCGTCCCTCCAATTAACAGCCAGCGCCCCACCCAGCTCTCTGATCCTCTGTAAACGTGATAAAACAAAGACTGTATCAACATTTGTACAAACATTGCTGGTAAAATGATAAATAAAGTACGATGAATGATCCTCGAGTGTTCCGAGCACGAAGTGGTATAAGGAGATCCATGGCGTTTTGGATCTCCTTATACCACTGAGATCTTCAGATTTTCTCCGATCATGGACCAATGAAATTTTGCAATTCAAAATTATCGTCCACTAGTCTTTATCGCATTAAAGACGTCACGGATTCTGTACGTCATCCGCGGGTAATCGTTTCACTTTTCTGTGATTACCTTCGCGTACGACTTGGGATCGATCCCAGAGAACAGAATCCTGGGCTGCTTGTCCGGAGCCGGTGGATCCGGGTTACTGATGACTATAGGTTCCTCCAGACCCAGGAGATGCGGATCCTTGCTCGACAGCGAGCCCTCCAGCCTTGGTTTTTTGTACTTCCTCATTGCATTCGGCCCTTGACCCACCTGCTTCACCTTATCGTACGACTCCTGCGTGATGTTGATCGGCATCTTCCACGCCGCTGAAAAGTACGACCGGTTAGTCCTAGTTACCCAGGTAGGTAGATCAGTCGATGAGCCTCCACGAACCCATTAAATGAGGTACTAAGGAGTAGTCCAGCCTGAAAGGGTTCCCTAGGCTGAACTGCTGGTACTTGGGAGACTCCGGTTGATGAAGAGCGCTCATCTGTCCGCACAAGAGATCCGTGAGCCATTGAGCGTTCACCACGCCGGTCTGCCATTCCCTCGCCTTTTTATACTTCTGCCCGTCCGGTCTGAAACAAGCGGAGGTGAAAAACGACCCGGACGTCGCTCCAAAAAAAGAGAAGCCAAAAACCCCCAAGGGTACCTCCTGCAGACGAGCAGGGTGTTGTGTCGCGAGAAGTAGTTGGTCAGCTTCGCGCCCAGCGCCTTCAGCATGAGCTTGACCTTGGTCCTCTCCTCGCCCTCGAAGCCAGACAAGGAGATGATCTGCTTGGAGCACGGCGTCTCGGCCAAGCCGAACGGCGTAGGAAAGTGCAAAGCATGCCAGGGTGGCAGGACCTGCTGTTTCCCGATGACATCGGACAGCCAATACGCGCTGACGCATCGCTTGCCCTCCCTCAGCGCCCTGACTACCAGAGGATGCTTCTGGGTGATCGCTAGGACGTGGGTCGCTCTGGCGCAGTACTGCTGCTCGACCTCTCCTCCGTGTCGCTCTATGACCTGCTTCCAGGATGAGACATCGTTTGGGTACTGGACGTCGTACTCCACGATGACGAATATGCAGCCCAGGAGGAACAGGTCCGGAGGGACTAAAAGAAAGAATAAAGAGGTCACCACGGGAACCTACATAGACATCGGCATGCAGTGTATCCAGACCAGAGTACCCACGCTTCAGATTCGGGTTGTGACCATAGAACTGGGCCCTAGGTTGAGGCATGGCAGGTGCATACTGCATCTTGACCGGCGCACCCGGAGGGGTGCCATTGCTGATGTTGCCCAGGGTCCTCCTCTGATAAGCGGCCAGAAGCTGGGGGTCCTGGGAGGGTGGCGGAGGTGGTCGGTGCTGGGCAGTCATCAGTCTCAGCTGACCAGCTGCACTACCTTCGGCAGTGCCGCCTTGTAGTCTGTTGGTCAGCATGTTCGCCAGGGCGGTTTTGGTCTTGGCGTTGACGACGAGTTGCTGGTCTGGTGGGATCTGGGAGTTCCCGGATAGAGGGGTCAAGGGCGGCTCCGGCTGAGGACCCTGTTGTTGCTGCTGCGCCTGTTGCTGTTGCTGCTGCTGTTGTTGCTGCTGCTGCTGCTGCTGCAGGTGCTGGAGCTGCTGTAGCCTGGCTATCTGCTGCTGTTTCTGCATGTGCAGCTGCGCTATCTGCTGAGGAGTCAGTGGCTGACCTTGAAAGACCTGCCCTGGCTGAGAAGGCTGCGGAGCCTGCACCGATTGACCAGTCTGTACGATGACTTGGTTCGGAGAGTTGATGGGGGTCAGGGCCGGAGGCTGCACTCCAGGATGCATCGGCTTCTGGCTAGGTGCTTGTGCGACCTGCGGTCCCATCAGCTGTGCTCGGGGCTGCTGGACCCACTGGAGGCCACCGGGTTGACCTGGCTTCCCAGGACTCCGGATGACCGCTATGTGAGGACCCTGCTGGCCTTGACGATTTTGCATCTGCCGTTGCAGAATAAGGTTTCGCTGTTTCTGGATCTTCTGAATGAACTGGGCCCTCTGCTGCGGATCCATTTGTTGAAGTTGCTGGTGTGTCTGTGCATCGAGTTGGATCAGCTGCCTCGGGGGCTGAGGGGGTTGCTGGGCCCATTGTCCTCCGGGCCTTTGCTGTTGACCGATTTGCTGTTGCTGCTGTCGTTGCAGTTGTAAGTGATACTGTTGCTGTTGCCACTGGGAGTCTCTCTGCACTACGAAGCCTTGTTGGTTCGGTGAGATTATCTGCTGATTTGGGGATTGCTGCTGCAGTTGTCCATCTCGGATAACAAATTGCTGAGAACCCTGAGGTGCGGACTGCTGCAACTGTTGAGAGATTTGCTGGATCTTCTGCTGCTGTTGTTGTTGCTGAAGAAGGAGAAACTGCTGGCGTTGCTCTGGAGTGAGCTGCTGCTGTTGCTGCGGAGATGGCTGGGCTTGCTGTCCGAGTTGGTGCTGCGGACCTAGTTGCTGCAGCTGTTGCGAAGCCAACTGCTGTTGCTGCATCGCTATCTGCTGCTGTTGCGATAGCTGTTGTTGTTGAGGTAATTGTTGCTGCTGTTGAGGTGTTAAATGCTGCTGTTGAGCAGGTATGGTTTGTTGAGGTGTAATTTGCTGCTGGCCCATTTGCTGTTGCTGCTGAGATAATAACTGGTGTTGAGTTAATTGTTGTTGCTTCTGCTGTGAAGTCAACAACTGTTGGGAATTCAGTTGATGAGTTGGTATCTGAGAGTTTAATTGTTGTTGAGATATCAATGACTGCTGGTTGACGGATTGCTGTTGCTGCTGACTTATTTGCGGCTGTTGCGAGATTTGTGGAGACTGTTGTTGGTTCAGAAGTTGCTGTTGGTTCAATGTTTGCTGTAACTGTTGCTGGTGTTGTTGCGCAAGCTGTTGCTGCGTCAGTTGCTGTTGATGTAATAATTGCTGTTGCATATTCAACGGTTGCTGAGAAGGCAGGTCTGGTTGCTGTATTTGAGGGGTCAGGGAAGGTTTCATTTGAGCGAGATTATTAGTGGACGAATTTTGCGAATGCCAATTGCCTTGACTTATCAAATTCTGTCCACTACTCATGGCAGCCGTTGTCGCAGAGTGACCCGATAGATTTGTGGAAACCACTGATCGAGAAAATTGTGCCTGTGGCTGTGGTTGTGACTGCGATTGTTGCTGCTGTTGATGCTGGTGATGGTGATGCTGCTGCATTGTACTAAGTGCACTTTGGGAAGTCGACGTTTGGAGAGTCGAAGTCATCGTTGAGATCACATTATGGTTTTGCAAAGTCATTGATGGAACGGTTGGACTTGGCTGATTCCAGGGCATTCTCTGCTTTAACTGCTCCAACATGGCCTTCGTTCTGTCCTGTTCATCCTGAATCGTCCCATTCTCTCCATCCTCATCCATGAATCCAGTGATTAACGCAGTGGAACTATTTGGCGACGGATACACCAATAATTTAGGATGGTATTCCAATTCACCAAGGAGCGTTCCTTTTCTACAACATTCCGTCACCCAGTCGGGGGTGACGATTTGTACATGATGTCTGGTTGCTGCTTCGTACTTTGCTCCATTAGCTTTGCCAATAATTAGATGCGTACAATAGCGATCCAGTCTCAATTGGCATTTACCACCTTGCAGAGTTATCATAGCCCAAAGCGCCTTGCTGTCCGCTCGGCTCACCTGAGATACGCAAGCTCGGACGTTCATGAACAACTGGTTTTCCTCCGGGGAGAAATAATGAGTCCTGATTAAGTCCGTTAAGGATTGATAAGTACACAAAGACTAGCGAAAAATCAATGACTAAAATCCTTTGTTTATCTCAGATTTTCTACTCAAAAAGGATACGGAAGTAGCTTTTTGCATCGGGCAGAATACAGGACCCATTCCTGCGTGACCGCAGGGATCTCGTATAAATCCTTAGCAGCAGAGATGTCGTTCTCCTGCGCATCGTGAGCAGCGATCAGGTGCGTCACAAAGTCACTGAAATAGTTGGACCTCTCGGCACCTCCTTCCTGCAGCAAGCTAAAAATCTGTGAACAGAAAGCAGCTGATCACTGCCTGCTGTCCATCCTACCAGTCCTTTCGATGCAGGGAGCTTTCACAGAGAACATGGAACTTGTTCGAATAATTGACAAGAGTCTCGTCGAAATGACTAAAAACTGAAGGAAAACAACACACCTTGGAATCTCCTTCTCCGCTGACGTAGTATTTCACATTGGCGAAAAGCGCGCTGTCGAGTTTGAGCTCGTCGAGGCCGGCCCGAATGTCACCCATCGTTCGCGAACGAGAGCTTTCCAGGGAAGCCTAACCTCAATTCATCGCGCAAAACATCCTACCCACTTGCGAGAAACTAGAAATTCCTAAAACCTGCGAAATAACCCGGGTACTGATTGATAACAAAAATCCGACCGCGTCGCTTTTGTTATTATTATGATTGTCGATAGTGAGGTTATGTACCTTAGAGCGCTCGCAGGAGTCGAGCGATGTCTCGAATTTCGATAGTTCTCGAGGCGGCCTTCGAAGAGGTTTTAAATTCAAATTCCACTACATGGTGGTATGTATGAATCTTATTAAAAAAAACGGTTTCAAAGTAAAAGCAGACACGTATCTGCACTTTCCTGGGAAATAAAGCATCCTAGTAATTAATTTCAGTCGAATGTCAAAAAGAAAAGACTGTGGAGCGATAAATCCAAAATTGGGTAATGCGAACGGAAGGAAGAGTCGCAGGGAATATGAGGTGGCTTTGTTTAATCAATGGGACTTTGAGTACTTCGAGACACGCCCTGTTATTATGGTATCGTGCAGAGTGGAATTGCACGTCACTCGGCAATCATCTGTCTGTGAAATCTAATCGTCTGTTTTCAGGATCACGCAGGGCCTTGCAGCTCGATTTCCACAATGTCACCGCGAAACATGAGTTTTCCTTCCTCGCGTTTGCAGAAAAATTCTTTGCAAGTTTTTAACTTCGAAGGGAGTAATCACGTGAGCTTATGATTATCGCGTTTCTCCGGGATCGGTTATACTCGAGAAACTCGTTTATCGAGATATCCTTCTCAAGAAACTTGAATAACAATAAATCATCGCGTAAGTTCGTCCATTTTGTATCGCGTTCTGCGCTATTCTGCGATGAGCTGTATTCAAGCTTTTCCTCAAAATATCCTTTGAGATAACAATAACCGCGTAAGTTCATATTTTTTTATTTCGAGTTCCATTTAACTAAAAATAAAAAATATTAACTTCCGAGGTTATTGTTATTTCAGCGATCAGCTGTACTCAAATAAGTCTTTCCTGAAAATATCTTTTTCGATAATCTGAAATAACAATAACCGCGCAAGTTAATATCTTTTTTTTTATTTCACGTTCTCTAGCGATCAGCTGTACTTAAACATGTTTTTCCCCGTGATATCGTCCACCAGGATGTAGAGTACAACGTCCTGAGTAAAAAAAAAAAAAAATTGACGCAGGATAATTCAAATAAGCGAATCCGAAGACTCGCTGACATACGGAGAATTCCGTGGACTTGGTACGTGACGAAACGTCCATATAGGTGCCTAGAAGTGTGAGAAGGTACCAATTTGATGCACGCCACTTCTAAGTTCCAGTCTCTTCAGTGCTCTAGAGTCGGAGGCGAGTCTCGAGTGCAGTTCTTGACGTTGCAACTGCAATCCATCGCATCTAGCGGTCAGTGTTACTCGGGCGATTCGATAGGCCGGATAAGAGCCATCTTCCCAAGTCGACACAATTCCCTTCACCTCGTCTTCTGCAACAGGTAACAATTTATCAACCAAAGTACCTCGTTAAATATACATTTCAGAAAATGAAGAAAAATATTTAAAAAAAAAATACGTGTTAAGAAAAATTGAGGGACAAAGATAATGGACGAATTAACAGAAGCTGCAACAGATAACGGCCTGTCAACAAAATTACCTCGTTGAGGATACATTTCAGACAATGAAGCAAAATATACAAAAAAAAATGCACGATAGGAAAAATTGATGGGTAATGAAAGCGGACGAATCAATTGAAGCAAAAAACACTTCAAGAAATGTAATAACGGCAGAGCGCGCCTTGCTCTATCTTCAAGATATGCCCTTTTTTGTTCGTTTATCTGCAAGTATGCGATCCTCATTGTTCAAATGCGAAACTCTTCTTTGTTACAGCTCGTCGAGCGGTAGACTGGCCGTTTAAGAGGAGCGATTTGCGTAATTATTCCTTTCTTGTCCACTTGTCTGCAGGTCTGTAAGTAAGGATATCGAGATATAGAGGTAACAATGCTTACGTAATTCGGCTCATCAAAGCTTGAGTTAACGACGGTGCGGTTTAAAAAAGAATCCTGGAACCCGATTCTCGAGTTCGCGCGATGAACATCCTCACGCGAGAATTGACAATTTCGCATACAATTACGCGTCTTCCGAACAATGGGCAAAATTTTCATGCAAATCTTTTTTCAAACGTTGACCAATTACGCGACTTCGCAATAATGCAAATCTAAAAAATTCGCACGATCGATTTTCGCATACAAAGTTGACAATTTCGTGTGCGATTTTCAAATGTTAACCAATGACGGGCTTCGCAACAATGCGAAATAATTCTATGCGAATCTATTCGAATGCGAAGAAAATCCGTATGAACTCGAGAATAGGATTTTTGAGGGTATCGAGAGGGAGAGGAGAAGATTTTCCGAAATTATAATCTCGGTATCTTGGATTTCAGGTGAACAATGGCTCTCATAAAAAGTCCGACCTTGGAGGAAGAGATGAGGAAAAATCCGGAACTGAAGGAGTCGGACATCCAGGCGTTGAGAGAATGGTGTGCTAAACAGCCGCATTTGCCGAAAATCTCGGATTTCGAGCTTGCACTCTTCCTGCACAGCAATTATTACCGCTTGGAACCAACGAAGAACACCATTGACGTGTTCTACACCATAAGAAGCCACGTGCCCGAATTGTTCTCCAACCGAGACCCCCTCGGATCAAAAGCGATGCGCCAGGCCTTGAACGTTGGGTAAATCTCCTTTTTTCTTTTCTCCACATAAGATCTAAAACGTGTAAAAGTCTTTGAAGATACCTCGCGAAAAAACGACGGTAAGAACTGGTTGATAAAAGTGCACAAAATACGATTGGCGTTTTGTTCTCGGCAATATCAGTGACTTACAGGACTGGAAAGTGAAATTTCCGAACACAAGATGCCATAGAAATTTTCTACGGTTTAATTACCTAGTTCCTATTGTTATAATTACGTTTACAATAACGCAAGGTATCCGTGAAGATTTTAACGGCTACCGGAAGCATAACAGTACCGGCCAAATTGCCGGACCTAGGAGGTTGTTTAAATTTTTTTACTGCTTGATTAGTCTATTCTTACTGCTGTGCGAGGTATGTGTGCTTTGTGAGAGCCTTTAAGGCCTTAATCTCTAACGATTACACCTTAAAGCTGTTTCCTGCCGCTGAAGAAGACGACGGAGGAGGGGTACAAGATCGTCTTAGCGAAGCTGGTGGACTTTGATCCTTCCCATTACGTGTACAACGACTGCACCAAGTACTTCTGTATGGTGTTGGATATGTGGCTATACACCGAGGGCACGGCCAAGGGTCACGTTTTGTTAATAGACATCGAAGGCGTTACTCTTGGCCACGCTGGTCGCCTCAGTCCCATGGGCCTTAAGAAGTTCCTCTACTACCTTCAAGATGGGTTACCAGTCAGGTTGAAGGGTATGCACTTCATGAACACCTCCCCGGTGATGGACGTTATCCTGGGGATGATGAAACCCTTCATGAAGAAGGAACTGATGGACATGGTAACGCTGATAAAACATCCCCGACATTCCCTGTACCCTGATAAGAACTCACAGAAATTTACACAAATTTTTACACACCTCACAAGTGAAGTTTCACATACACCGAGGAAAAAAAAATTCATCTAACCGAAAGGTTTCTTTGAATGGTACCAAAGAAATGTTTCGTTAATACAAAGAATAATTATTTTACTTAAATAAATTATCATTGGGAAGAAATTTTCCATCAGTCACATTTATTACATTTTCTCTCTCAGGGTGGAAAATCGTAAAGTGGAGATATGTCAAATTGGAAAGTGTATAAATCCATGTATTTGTATATTCACCCCATCGGTGCATTTTTCATTTCAATTATACACAATATTATAGTATAATTCTCTTTAACTCAAATTATTCTCCGATATTATAGCGACAATGTAACATTATTGGTATTTATTGCCGCATCGAAATAAGTAATTATTGAGTATGTCAACTTATTTAGGTATCTTTATCAGGGTTAATGGAATTGTTATCTTTTCTCAGCTCCACATGCACTCGACTACCGAAAGCTTGACCAAGTATATACCTCTGGAAGCTCTGCCGAACGAGCAAGGTGGAAAAGCTGGTCCTCTTGCAGAATTGAATGCTGCTCAGGTAAAAATTCTGGAAGATCACCGAGCCTGGTTCCTGGACGAAGAAGTTTCGGCCAGGGTCAACGAGTCTCTTCGACCTGGCAAGGCCAAAAACGCCACCGACCTCTTCGGGGTCGAGGGAAGCTTCAAGAAGCTGGAAATAGATTAAGAGCATTTCCTTCGATTTGTGGGAAGCGTTGATAAAGCGGCCACTCATTGGACTACAGGGGATTTGCATAGGATTTTTACGATACTAATAATTTTAAGATACCTTAAGGCGATATGAAAGTGGCGTCAAGGAGGTCTCGTTTGTGAAACTTTTCTCCGAGCTGGGTGTACCGAATCGTCTTAAACTTTATAATGTGAACATTGAGGCTATAATAAAGATGTTGACACCCATGAAAATCAATTTTTTTTTCAATTTCTTTATATACATTTTAAACATTTTGTATACAAAATGAAATTTCATGAGCGTCGGGATCTTCCTTAGAGTCTCCGTATTCACATTATAAAATTCAAAAAGTTTCGGTTCATCCAATTCAGAGAAAAGTTTCACGAACGATTCACCTTAAGGCGATATGAAAGTGGCGTCAAGGAGGTCTCGTTAAGTGAAACTTTTCTCCGAGCTGGGTGTACCGAATCGTTTCAAACTTTACAATATGAACATTGAGGCTAAAAGAAAGGTATTGACACCCATGAAATTCCGATTTTTTTAAAATTTCTTCATAGACATTTCGACATTACTTGCTCATAGACTTTCATAGTACCTTAAGGTCGCGTTTCTACGAGCCCTCGTGGACTTACCGACACATGTCGCTACGAATTTACAGTTTATACATTTATGTTAACGGACACCGAGTCTCGATGTGAAAGGGGCTTACAGTCGTTTACTAGTACGTGGTTTCTTACTGTTACTTTCACCTGTGAGAATATCCACTCTCGATCAGTGGACAGAAGGCCGTGAGAACGTGAGGATCGATTACTCGCGATCATGTACATCATTGTAAGTAATAAACGTATAATAAACATTAAGAAATGTGGAAAAGCGTCCCGAAATTTCGTCTGCCTCGGAATTCCGTAGAAAATAAATTCCTGGAGCCTTCTTCGGGCTCTTTAATGTCTGAATGTTGCAAAGTAATTGCGTAATCAAATAGGTAATGGAACTTTTCAATTTGATACCACGCACGACGTGCGTTGTCCTTGGAAAAGGAAGTAAAACAGGGCGAACGTTCCCTGGCGTCGTCTCTGTAATATTAGTTATCCTCATGGTTCAATGTGAAAATTTTATATTTATTTAATATTTAGAGAGAACTTCTTTCTTTAGGTCGCATTACTCATCACCGGGTGGTCCTTTGGAGATGCCCTGGAAACATCAACGGAATATTCTGGACCACCGAAACCCTACAGCTTCCGGTACGAAGCAGGACGATATCCTGGACAAGTGGATCGAATTCATCAGGAAACCGCAGACGGCTCCGGCACGGTTCATGGTTAATACATATTAGTTGGATTTAATAATCAGGTCGTTCCATAAATTTACGAAGGAGTTCTTTTTCCCAGAGAATTTTCTTTGGCGATAATTGTGTGCCTAAATGAAAACACCGGAAGACTGGCAAGAAGCGATCAACATTGCTGGGAAATACATTATTAATGAATACATGGCCCGTTACATTGCAAAAGATAATTGAACTTTAAGAAATTCGTCCGGCCAACTCGGGGAACCCGATGATTTAATTAATTATTAATTAATACGCGGCTCGTTATTTTGCAAGATATAAGATTATCGACATTTTATAATGACCGCAAGCTCGTGGGATAATTTAATAGTACTTATGGTTATGAAATAGATTTTATAAACAAAGTGGGTATTTTTTTCTAGGGTCCTACGCTTTCGTAGACCCGAAGCAGAAGGTCAGGATTGTGGAGTACACGGCCGATAAGACCGGATTTCATCCATCCTTGACAAACTACGAGGACACTTTTAGGCTCCCAGTGGATTCGGAAGCTGTGAGGCAGGCCAAAGAGAAACATTTCGATCTTTACGAGAAAATCGCCAACAGAAACGCTGATGGAGCTCCCTCGACCCTCCCAGCGGTAATACTCATCTTTATCATTGTTTTCGTGGAGAATAGTCTCCTTCTCTTCGCATAAAAATAACAAGAACGTGTATAAAAATACCAAGAACGTGCATAAAAGTCTCCGAGTGTATAAATAATTTATAATCGGTGTATTACTAATTCTTCCAGGACACGTCGAGCGTACTACGAGCAACGAATCAGCATTATCAGCTTTACAGGAAGATTGCCGAAGAGCACGCCGCGATTTCCGCACAAAGAGAGGCGGAACGATTAGCATATGAGGCAACATCAGAGCCTAATGACGTGTCTCACCAGCAGAATTATTGATACGTTATTAGCGTTTAATTTCCCAACTTTTATCGCCGGCCTTGATGGCCGATAGCGGAGATATTCCTCTTCATGGCGCTCTTTTTATATTTCTCTCGTCCATTATTCTATTTTATGGAGTTTCCGGGAATCTGATTCTTGTAAACATCTTCTTTTTCTTTTCCTTTTATTGAAAACGTATTCGACGTACAATAATTATGGTCTTTATCGTAGGTAACATCGGCAGTCGTTTAAGCGTTTTGCACTCTCACATTGTAATCAACGGGTTATTCCACCCTGAAAAGAATATGTCATCGAACCGAAGAAACATTCCTTCGGTTCGGTGACATTATTTTCTCAGTGTACATGGACTGATATAAAGTCTGTTAAAGGATTTCTTTAATGTCTATCGAGTAACAATGTCTGTTTTTCTCTGGATGAATCCAGTTGTGATTCGTTAGCTCAGAAATACAATGATTCACTATATTTAACGACCACTTATTTTTCCACTTTTACAAAAGCGTTCCATCCTTCTCGTGTGAGTGAAATAGGATTTGTTAACGGTCCATCTTTTTTTAACAAGGTGAGGAAATTTTTGGATTCTGATATGCTAGGTGCTGTAACAAGAGGTATGTGAACCCGATAAAATCATGATACTTCGTGTACGCATTCATAGTTTACTTATCTCGGTAGATCTTAATAATCTAGCTGCAACTTCTCACAATTGGATATTAAATTCATCACCGAACAATTAATCAAACTTCTTCAATAGATCATGAGTAGCGACTAAATATTTCTAAATAAGGGTTTCGTGCAAATGAATTCAACGCCGACTTCTACAATTTAGGTTATATAAGTACCTATTTAACTTAATATTGCAATGCTATTTATGTATACGAGATTACTAACATCAGATCGTTGTAAATGTAATCTGTGGTTAAATATATAAACGATATCAAATGTATGTCTTGTCTCTACCTATAAAAACTTCATGATATATTTATTACACATAAACGTACCCTTGCAGAACACTTCACTTATAAAGATACTATTTACGCTTCTGAAACGTACACTCACGATAGCTTACATTCACTTTTTTATATGAAATAGGAAATAACAATATTTACAAGATTGTAACGCATTATACTGACATTGGGACAAGTTTAAGCTTTATAGTTTGTGGTTAAACATTAAATCAAAATGTAGAATGGTTTTATATATCCACTGAGGAATTAATTAAACAAAATGAGTACATTCTCTCCAAGATAAGATTGCAATGACTGCTGTTCTTGTTTTTGTAATCAGTTCATTTTAAGTTTTATTAATTATCGTTAAAAATTCTGATAGTTACGCCTCGCTACTATAAATTAATCACTGCAGGAAATCCATAACAACTTGTACATTGAATTTACTTTTGCACATTTAGTAAGTAGCTCATTCTTTAAAAAAGAGAATGCATCGTTCATTTACTCTACTACTTGTTGCACCCAAAACAAACAAATTCCTCTTGATTAATTTGACTATTGCCTCCACATGATTCACGACATCTTCTTTTATTTCTTGAGTAAGTGTTTAATGTCTTTGTTTTGTTTTTGCATCGTGATATCCGCTCTTTCAGATTTATCCACCAGATTTTCTATTAAATCGTTTTGTGAGTCAATTTCTTCAGATAAGCCAATCGCTAGGCCTTTTAGCCTTGCCAAAGATCCACTCATTTCATCTAAATTTTGTTCTAGTACCACAGAGACATTATTAGTAGTTGGCTTAGGTTCTTCTTCATCATCCGAAAAACCCCGAATCCGCAAAGATGGATGATTTGAAGACAAATTAGTTTGCACTTGTTCCAAAGACTTAGTCAAAGTCGGAGAGGACATCGAGTCGGTACTTGTGGATTCTGGTAGTTTAGAGCCAACGGATGACGATGCAGGAATATCAACCGATTTGCCACTCAGATAATTCTTAAGACTCCCGAAAACACTTTTTATTCCCTGGATATGTTTCTGACTGAACCGTAACGTGCTGTTAATATCATCGAGCCGTTTTTCCGTCCTTTCCAGCTGTTCCCGTTGTCTGATAAGTTCCTGTAAAAATTGCAACGCTTTTTATGGCAGTAAGTGATACGATCGTAAACATTCCGATAGAGTACGTTGACGACGTATAAGACAAGGACCATACCTCAGCAGTCGCCGCTCCGATCTGCTCGGAATCCCTTAAGAGAGAAATTGATCTCTTTGAAGACTGAATGGTTCGATCTTCGATAGCTTTTCTACGCTCCAACAATTGTTGATGCTTCTGCTCAAGGTCATTATCAAAATTAGCGTAGTGATTATGAGAAGAGTAATTGGTCGGGGCAGGTCTCGCAGGAGCGCTTCTTAAAAACGTCTCATCGTCTATGTCATCCTCCAGGGAAAAGAAAGGATTCTTTGGGTCGTTCAGGTAATTGTTCCTCGCCATTTCCCTTGGCAAATTAATTGCGACAAGTCCTCAGCTGCAATTAAGTAGTCATGGGTGGTTACAAAAAGCTGTCACGCGACGTGACAACTCGACTCCCACAATACTTTTCGCGACCAGCGCGAGTCTTTCTTCTGATTTAAATCAATGACTCATTGCCACGTTGGAATCGTTACAGCCTAAAAATCCTTATGACAATAAAGAGCTTGAAACGTAAAATTTACTTACGAGTTAAGTCTATTTTCCAAATGTGTCTGAATTCATTAATGGTGTCACGATTCCGAGGAGAAAGTCCAATTCTCGGAGACTCGTAAGTTTTTGCAGATAGCGATGCTGCACTGTAAATTGCTTACCATTTAACCAATAAAATCCCTAGACTACAAAGTTAATAGGAAGTTTTCATACCTAACTGTTGGTAGATAAATTGAGAGACTACTCACAGGCTAGTCGCGCGATCGCGTTCTGTGCTGCCCTCAGTGGAGAATGCGGGCGGCTCGTGCACTTATCACCTGATACCCCCTCCTCAGTGGCGGCTCAACTCGGAAATTCTCATCTGTGCTCCCAACTCATCTCTGGATATTATAGAGAGTCGCAAGATGGCGTTGCGATCGGAAATTCCGCTCAGTAACCGGTTTTTTTTGCACATGAAAAGGCTGCTTAAGGCAAAGAGTGTCAATGCCATCAGGCGGGAAAAATATGAACTCACAGAATAAATTGATATAACCCTATGTCGGTTACTGGAAAAGCGTAAATCAATTTCAACAATTGAAAATCATATGTAAAAAGAAATGAGAACCCAAGGAGTGGTACTTTAACAATTCGATCGTGAGTGTTCTGAACTTATCATCACGTATATACCGTTTCCGTGGAAACGATAATAAATGCCGATGAAAAGTTGCTAAAGGTCATTTTCTGATAAATGATTCTCCTTTACATTAACCTCGTATCCTTTAACAAGGTAATAGACGACCTTGGCAGCAATATCAACCGGAAGGATTGTCGCGTCCTTTCTAAAGCCGCTTCGCTTTTTTTCGGATCGAGAGGTCATAATAAGGCTAATCCTAAATACGATTGCCGATATTACTTAATACAGCAGAGTCACGTAATGGAACACCGTACCAGTTTTGCAATGGAATGGTAGAAACGGAATATGGCTAAGAACCGAAGTAACATTATACTTCGATATCGTATGATGTTGTTTAACGGCTCGTTTTTTGTTCAGAACCAGGGCCCGCAGATACGTTTGCAGAATTAAAAAATACTCATGTCTATATTTTCAAGTTTAAACAAGCAGCTGCGTTGACCGTGAGTACGGTATTCCATTTAATTCCAGCGCTAATCCATGGAATAAACTTCAGGTGCAGGAACTTATCGTCCGCCATTTTGAATGACACTCGACGTGAAATGAAACTCTTTTTTCGAGGTTTACGCTCTACAATGTTAAACAGGTCGTCAAATTGCACGCCCATTCTTCAAGAACGTGAAATTTATGCCTGAGAGGCTATCGAAATCTGAGGTTACTTCTAAACACGTGAAAGGTTAACCGGAAACATTCGACGGGGTTCCCGCTCCAAATTCGACGGTCGATGGGCGTGGAAGATCCGGAGGATTAAACGCATTTATAAGAGTATACACGCGGATGAAATATTACGACCGCACCTCCGTAATCTGGTAGCTAACACGATTGAAACGAATGAGGACCGTAAAAAAGCTAATTTGCATATATAAATTCTCCGGCAGTAACCACTCTCGATTTTAGTTCCGTGACGCCATTCCGAAAGCTATTCAAACGACGCTACTTCTCTATGTCGATATTATTATTAAAATGAAAAAGGAATCTCGATAAAAATAAGATAATTGATTCAGTAGGTTGTCTCGTTTAATTGAAGGTTAATACCTCGATAACTGTCCGAACAACTTAACAAAACGGTATAATGAGATTAATTTTTCTTTTACTTTTGATGGGTCTTTCCAAAATGGCGGAGAATAGTGGAACCCGCCACGCGGAAGAGAAGCGCCGGAACGTTTATCGAGAAAAATACTGAAACCACAGTGGGAGGAGCCACGTAAATTGCGAGCCGTCCAATGTCTTCGATTAACCCATAAATCATTGCTAATATGGACATTTGTGGCCACGAAATGAATTATAAGGATTACGGGGCAGGCCCGAGCGCTCCAATTCCGTCACGACGCTGTGCTTATGCAAATTTACCGCAAAACCGAGGACTATGTGTATGCGAAATCTCCTCGAAAATTATGCAACCCGATTGACGACGTAAAGGAAGGGAAAAAAGGGAGTAGAGGAAAGGACGCGAGCCGGTAAAACTCCACGAAAGCCTCTTAATGGGCGCGCTCGAAGACGACGCGCGGCGGCCATATTGGAAAAGCGAACGCCCAAGAACGGCGAAATCGGTCTCGTTTTTTCGGCATTTTTCCGCATTTTTCAAACAATTCGACTCGGTTCGACGAAATCTACATCGATTTAGCATCCGTGCTCTCATTCGTTACAAAAAACCGCCCGTTTCGCACAGTTTTACGGTCAAACGGTTTCGATACAAGGTATGGGGAAGCAACGAGTACGTTTCCACGAGGCTTTAGAAAGTCATCCCGAGGGAACGGAGGATTCCTTCGCACTAGCTGGCCTCTTATTCCGGGATCGTTGTTCGCAATGTACGGTCTCTAAATTCGCGAGTATAATGGCCGGATTATGCGCAGTCGATATCGACGCCGAGCGCGGCCATTTTGTTGACGCAGCAGCGGCGCTAATTCCCTACAATTTCTCTCTAAATTAATATTTCCAATCGAAGACGTCTGGAAACGTGCGTAAAGAAGTACTCCGATATATTGTCGTTTCGTTCCCAGTCGAGATCACGTAGTGCTCTTTCAGAGTGCAGCGATAATAAAATGGGAAATTCACTCCGGCGAGCCCTGCTGGGTGAATGAATAAATAAATCCGGGGAATGTGTAAGGAAGGGATATCAAGTTAAATAAATAAATGAATAAATCCGGGGGAATATATAAGGAAGGAATATCAAGTTCGTTGGAGAGGTCAAGGGGTACGGGGTATATTTTCCCATTCGATGCACGGTTCTACGCTCTCTCCAACTTCGAAGCCTCGAAGTTTTACGGATGGACGTTGAATGGCAAAGACGGGCTTATACTTTGCCATTCGCCATGGCATTTTTTTCTTCTTATTATCCCTCGATGCTAGCTACCGGCATTTCCCTTCCTCGAGTTAGACTAAGACGTGTACGTCCCACGTAATTGCCGAGAGTTTCCCCTCTCTCCCTTCTTTCAATTCTATGCACTGTGTTCCGAATCACGAGATGTACGACGGTCCACAATTCACCGGAAAGACGCGAAAACCTTCCAGCCGAGGATAATCTAATAATATAATACGCGACGTAAATCAAATAATAAAGAAGTAATTTTTTTTTCACTGCCGACGTAATTTGCATAATCCTGGTTTTTTTTCCCTTTTTTTCTTTGGGGAATTCAGCTTAGATTAGAGTCGCACCTGGTTCTTGATTTATGTGTGCCCTACGAACGGCTCTTAAGAGGCGGAAAAAAAATTGCACTTATCATCGGGAAACATTTATTTCATAGCAGGTGCAATTTATCTTCTGGTCGGATTACTTTGTGCCGGCAGTTTCGATCAAAGCACTCGGCCAGGGCGATTTGAATAACGTTTTAGACCGACCCAGATTTTCGAACATGAGCTCCGAGTTGGTCAATCGTGCATTAAGGTAAATATCGCAGATCGTGATGAGGCAATCCCTCCAATTCTGCAAAAACCTCGACCTCTCTCCGTCGGTTGGCCAACCTGATGATTAATCATAATCTTGGCCGCCATTTTTATTAATTTCTCTAAAGACCGACTATCGTACGATCCGAAGAAGCGTCGAAAATTTCCGGTTCTTGGAAACGAGATCCTTGTTTTTTCTTCTGCAACTGTATTGGTTGCATAACCGATCGGATCGTTTCGGTGCAATTGCAATCGCCAATTAAAGTATTGCTGTCGGAAGCCGGAGATATCGGACTGCACCGGCGTCGGGATGGAAACCTTCGGGTTTTCCACTGGATATAATGGCAGATCGCGGCCCCGTAATATCTGGGTTTGATGTGACTTCGAGAAAAATCCCGGCCACACGTTTAACCCAAGATGAAAGACCTGCTACTTGCAAGTAGAAATCACTGGCGAAAGGAGTTTTGCTCTATACCGTTCTGCGGAGCAATTGTCGGACATCGGTTGCTAACAATAATCTCGGGCACTGGTACTCGATTCTTGCACCCGTTCTGAAGAAATTTCTTAATCGAACCTCCTGCCCAAAGTTATCGTGAAAAAGTAACCGCCGAAAATATCCACGAGGGAAATTGATTACTAATTATTTTTATCTCCTTTCCTTCCACCTGAAGAAATTCAAGATGGCGGACTCCTGGCAGCGTCGTTAGGCGAAGCGTCGTCCAGTATTTGCATGCATCGCTCTTTGCATATCTTCATAATTGCTGTGAAACGGGGAAACTATGTAGTTACATCGCGATCCTATGATTATTTCGTGGTTTTGTTCGATTTGTCCGCTGAACTCGAGCGCTCCCCGCGGCGGCCATTTTGGTCCGCGAAGTTTGTTAGAATTCTCGACATTTTGGTACCCCAGGGGTTTGATGGCCCATCCGGGGGAGTTAGCTCGTCGGAATAAGCGTTTTCTAAGAGGCTTGATGACTCTTTCGAAAGAATCATCGCTGCCGGATAAACAATTTCTGAAATAAGCTGTTAAATGTAATTGCGCCTGCGTCCGCCATTGCGACCTCTTCCGGCGTAGTATGCCACGATTTTCAAAATGTAAATGCCTAGCATGTAAAGAATGACTGACGTTTGTCGATACCCCGTGTCATGGGATGACGATGTAATGATCAGAGGCTGCTGTATATTTACTCTGCTCTTCACAGCACGAAAGCATTGATCGTTGGGGAGTGCACCACTCACTTAAAATTACCCAGGATGATTACACCCCGTGTAAACGATACTTAGAATACGTATTCGAAAAAAATAAAAAACAACTCGAAGTATAATAACGAAGCATTTCAAGTTCGAGTCAACGGTCGCAGAGTAATTAATTAATTCCCCAGTAGCACTGAATAATTTTCTATAAAAAAAATAATATTCCAAAGTAAATGTCTGGTAAATATTTATAAAATGTAGGATATTCGTTAAAAATATATAGAAAATATAAGGCAAATATTTCGTGCTACTAGGGATTAATTCCGACTGCTTCGTGCTTTTAGGAAGGGAATTTTTATACGTGTCTGATAGTCCTAATAAATAAAAATGTCCGGCGAGATT